AAAATCCATCCCTGCGCGTATTTCTCCTGCAAGCTCTTCCCTGTAGAGAGGAACTACAACATAGGGAAAAGAGTTGCTGGCGGTTAAGCTAGCACTCAAAGAATGGCATCATTAGTTGGAGGGAGATGGCAAGACCTTTGTAGTGCGGACTGATCACAAAAACTTGGAATGTATTCGGACTGTTAAGTGCCTCAACTTCCACCAAGTCTGCTGGGCCTTGTTTTTTGACCATTTTAACTTCCCCCTTTCTTATCGCCCTGGCAGCAAGAACATCAAACCGGCTGCCCTGTCCCGCCAAGGAGTCAAGACCAACGTGCCCCCTAAGTTGGTGCTTGGGGTCACCCACTGGACCTTGGAGCGCAGGATCAAGGCTGCAGTTCCTGACACCACCACCATCCCATCAGGTTGTCCCCCAAACTGCTTATTCGTCACCTCAGGTCTACGTCCTGCTGTGCTGAAGTGGGGACACTCATCACGCCTGGCTTGCCACCCTGGAATGACAAGAACCGCCTTCCTCATAGCTCAGCGATCTGCTGGTGGCCCACCGTGGCCTCAGACATTCGAGCCTTTGTTGTCTAGTGCTCAGTCTGTGCCAGCGTCAAGGTGCGCAGGACTTCCCCAGCTGGTTTCCTCCAGCCTCTACCAGTCCCCTCCAGACCATGGTCCCACGTGGCCATGGATTTCATCACTGGACTGCCCGATTCCAGAGGTCAAACTGTGATTTTAACTGTAGTGGACAGGTTCTTTAAGTTGGCCCATGCTATACCTCTGCAGAGATTGCCATCAGCTAAGCAACTGGCCGAGGCGGTGGTTTGACACGTTTTCCAGCTGCACTGACTCCCCGAGGACATAACCTCTGATCAAGGCCCCTATTTCGTGTCAGCTTTTTGGAAGAAATTTTGCAAACTCCTGGGAATCAAGGTCAGTCTGAGCTCTGGGTTCCATCCTCAGCCGAACGGGCAGGTTTGGCGCTTTAACCAGGACTTGGAGACAACCTTTCGGGCTATGTGCCAGAAGAACCCCCGCTCCAGGTCCACCCAACATTCCTGGGTGGAGTACTCCCATAACCCCTAGTGAACTCCACTGATTTCTCTCCATTTAAGGCGGCCTACAGATACCAGTCTCCCTTCTTCTGCCATCAGGAGTGGATGGCTTCCACCTCCGGCCACGCAGCGTTTGTGAGATGCAGCAGACGTTCCTGGGTCGAATTACGCTCACAGCTGGTTAAGAACCAGGAGCGTTTTGCCACGGTGGTGAACTGCTGGCGATCTGCCGCTCCAATCTACAAGGTGGGTGACAGGGTCTGGCTCTCTTCTGCGGATTTACCACTGAAAGGGGGTACTAGGAAGATGCAACCCCGATTTATCAGCCCGTTACCATCACAAAGATAATAAACCTGGTGGCGGTGAGGCTGGCTCTCCCCCGCTCACTACAAGTCCACCCTACCTTGCAAATCAGCAAGCAGAAGCCAGAGAAACTCAGTCCTCTGCTAACACTGCCTGCCAGCGTGCCCCCCCCCCCGCTCCTTGCCTAGTGGACAGTGGGCTGGTCTATGTGGTCGGCTGTTTGAGTCGGCTGAGGTGTCAGTATCTTATGGACAGGGTGGGTTATGGCCCAGCAGACCGCTAGTGGGTCCCCAAGCGTCACATTACGCCAAGACCTGATAGAGCAGTCAGACCCGCCGTCCATCTGGTAGCTGGACTTTATGAGGGGGGTTGTGTTATGGTTTACCCCTTATCCTTTTTGTTTTTATTTATTTATTCTGGTTATGGTTTCAGAGCAACCCATGGCAGCTGTGGCTACATTGTAGGTCATCAGTGTGTGAATGGATGAATGACTGCTTCTGTTGTGAAGCGCCAAGAAGGTGCTGTGCAAATACAGGCCATTTTTAAAAGATTGCACATCACAGGAGACATACTCATAATTTCAGTGTAATGTTCCACCATTAGGTGACAATAAAGCCTTTCATTCCTTCGTTTGTTCATTTAGTACCTGTGTCCATGCTGTCCAGGTCCAGGTGGTGCAGAACACACGATGAAGCAGTCCCAGATCCTGAAGTGGTAGCAGGTTTTCTTTAGCCGTGTTTAGCTAGCAGCTGCAATAGAAACAAAGCAGGAGAGCTGATTAAGATGCTGCTTCAGAACAACGCAGGAGATTAAAGATCCAACGCTTTGGTTCTGATCAGCTGAGGACAGATCCAGTCTGGAAAAGAGGACCTTTGGTCACCAAAGTTCACAGAGTAGAGCTAACCGCTTTTTCCTCCAGAGTCACATTCAGATTCGGGGTTTTCCCGTCAGAGAGTGTGAGCAGGATGGATCAGAGAGCAAGCAGCGATCCTGCATCATGACCAACTCAGATGAGCGAGTCTGATAGAGGTAGTGTTGGGAGTAACATGTTACAAAAAGAACTAATTACGGTAATGCACTGCTTTTTGCTGTAATACGATCATTACCCCCCCTCCCCCATACACACACTCACACTGAAGGGATTTAAGATGACAGTGTGCCAAGCACAGTTTGTTGTTGCATTTGTTTAATAAACAATAATTTTCTTAGGGCCTGTCCAGCTTTGGACACTTTCATCCCTGGGGCTACTGCAATCGTAATCCAGCCCTGATGGAGGTCATCTGATGGACCTGCGGTGCAGAGCTAACCCTGCAGTCAGACAAAGCAGAGATGAGAACCTGCAGCTGATCTAACATTAGCTAGAACGTCCTCCAGATGGGCACATGCCCATAACTTTTAAGTTTATGAAAAATAAGGATATGAAGAACATTGTAGTCAAATGATTCTTGTGTGCTAGACCTGTTATTGTATCGGACTGTTTTTAATCATGAGCTACTTTTAGACGGCTTAATCCATATTTAAAGTTATTTTGGTGAGAGTACCTTAAAGTAATGTAATAGTAGTGTAATGTCTTACATTTGAAAGTAAAACAGTGATATTGTAATGTAACAAATTACTTTGAAGTGACAATTACAGGTAATAATTAATGCATTACAGATTTGAAGTAACTTGCCCAACACTGGATAGAGGGAACCTCTTCAATCTGATGAAAGCAGCAAAACGAGCGCGTTTCTCAGAGAGGCCAAAGGAACAGCAGCAGATCCAGAGGGCAGGAAGTCTAGAGAAAAGCTTTTCTGACCCACAACCTGATTCTGGAGCTCCGATTGTCACGGTTCTGGAAAGAACTCCACCAAGTTGTTGAGAAGAAAGTTTCCACAGCCTGGTGATAAATAAAGCGAGGCTTGTACTGAGCAGGAAGGGGGCGTGTCCATCAAATCTCATTTCGACGGTTGCATGGATTGCTTCATTTTGTGAAAAAAACCACATGACTGATGACAAATGAGGCCTCATTTTACATGGACCACCTAGCTGTCTTTTTTCTGTTTTCAAAATAACAGCTGCTGAAGGTGCTTTGTGGGTTGTTTTAACAGTTTGGGACGCAGCCATCATAGATTATGGTGGAACAGTTTTAGTCTGAGGAAAGCTCACTTTTCATAATTAATGTGTTTTATTCACCAACTACGTGGAAAAACTACACAAATAATGAATAGAAACAAAAGCATGAAAAAGTGAATATTTGATTGTATTTGGATTTTAAATGTTTAAAAACAATGATGTAATTAATTTCATGATGTTGAATTTGAACAAAGGAAAAGCTAAACTTTACTGATCTAATCCAGTTCTTTGGAGAAAATGAATCAAAGCAGTCTTCCAGTTTTACCTGACTAACATTAAAATACATAGTTTTTTATTTATGACTTGAATGTCCTCCAAGGGCCTCAACATCTTATTGACCCAAAGTAAAATAATGCTGCTTGTTTTTCATCAGAGTTCTGTTTTAATTCGAGTAAAAAAAAAACTTTAAAAAAAAGGCACAAATAGAGCAAAAACATTTTTTTAAAGATTCACAATCTAACAAGTTTGAAAATTCATATAGTGAAAATCTTGGCTTCAAACAACATAATATATATTTGGACAAATATGTTTAGTGTTATTAATTGAATGTATTGTTAGTTCATAACTAATTGGCACGTTGAGCTTTTTGTACGTAATTTGAAGTACAATTACTTAAAAAGTACACAGTGAAAGTAGTTTATACTTTGGTACCAGGTAGTACTCGTGGTACTTAGTATGTAGGTATAGGTGGCCTAGTGTCCTTTTTCCCAAATACCATTTTATCCCATCTCAAACTTGCCACTTTTGGCTTTTTGGACATTTTGAAGTACAATTACTTAAAAAGTACACACTAAAAGTAGTTCATACCTTAGTACCAGGTAGTACTAGAGGTACTTAGTATGTAGGTATAGGTGGCCTAGTGTCCTTTTTCCCAAATACCATTTTATCCCATCTCAAACTTGCCACTTTTGGCTTTTTGGACCTACTTTGAAGTACAATTACTTAAAAAGTACACAGTAAAAGTAGTTCATACTTTAGTACCAAGTAGTACTCGAGGTACTTAGAATGCATGTATAGGTGACCTAGTGTCCTTTTTCCAAAATACAACTTTATCCTACCTCAAACACGGCACTTTTGGCTTTTTGGACAGTTCGAAGTACAATTACTCAAAAAGTACACAGTAAAAGTAGTTCATACTTTGGTACCAGGTAGTACTCGAAGTACTTAGTATGTATGTATAGGATGCTTAGTGTCCTTTTTTAAAAACACAATTCTATCTTTTATCAAAAAGGCACATTTAGCAGCTCTGTGTCATCCTGATGTCAGCCCATTCTGTCGCTCATCTCAGCTCCTCTCCAGCAGCGAGACGGGTGTTGCCGTAAACTACCGTATAAACGCGCACTTGACCACGGACAAACAAACGAACGACGGCTCACTTGACTGCATTCCACAACGGCGGTGTACGATTTTGGTATACAACCCAACCCTAAAGCTAACTCGCAACACTTTACTGAGCTGCTGAACTGAACAGCAGTGGCATCAAAACAAACCTCATCAGGTCATGTCACTGTTACCACACGAGGGAACTCGATCGCTCACCTAGCTCTACCTGTGGTGAAACCTATCCACGAGGTTTTCTTTTCAGTCAGCGCCAGTAAAATCCATCAGCCCGTCTACACGCCAAGCCTCATGTCTCCACTGCCTTTCTGTGATGTATTTGCGTCGCTGTAACCGAAAAAAACGAGGCTCAGGCCTCCAGATCAGCGAGTGGTGTTTTATTCTGGCCTGCTTTTTGTGCACAACAGATTACGACTGCCCTCTGCTGGTAGGCAGGAGGAGTACACATTACACGGAATGAGAAGTCTCGTCGACAATACATGAACATCAAAGTAATTATAAAACTATGAACACTGTGTTACTCCTAGCTGTTAACAATAAGCTAGAAGACATCACAAACCAAGTCTTATCAGGTGGTTTAACCACTCTGCTTCGCCTGGTCACGTACGGCACTGCAACCTTGGTTTAACTGTACCCTCTTGCTGATCTATCGGCATGGACACACCTGGGAAGGCATCTCTAAGGGCGATGAAAGATCTGCTGAATGAGTCCAGTCTTTTTCTATTTGTGCATAGCGGGTTTCTGTATCTGTCAGTGACCTAGATGAGAACGCTACAGGATGACTGTCTTGAGTGAGCACTGCACCAAGCCCATAGCTGCTTGCATCACAGTAGATTTCCACCAGCTGCACCGGTGTTCTGACTATCCGTGCTCCCCGTCGAAATGTGCTACATTGGGGAAATGTGCAAGCCGATTATTGCGTCACAGGCTGTTTACATGTCGAGACGTGCTACCTGTGCAAGTTTACGTTAATCTTGTCACTTATCTAGTTACTTTCAACTCGTCGAATGTCACAGTAAGTATTTCTTTAAGTTGTTTTATTAAATTACTGCTTGCTGTATGTTTACCTGACAGTTAGCTTGTAAATGGCTTCTAAAATATTGTTATTATATTGTAAACAAGAAATTTCTCCCAATGTTCCCAGTCATTCTGAAAGAGTCCCAAATTAATATCCAAAAGTTTTATATTATACATATTGTAGCGACCCCGAGCATCTCAGCGGCAGGTTTATAGTCCCCAAATCAACCAGCAGGGGGCAGTAATGGTTCACACCAGACCTTTATTAGGGTTTTTCTTCCACACTTTGTAACGCTACAGACACCGATCCTCTATCACGCTCCTACCACACAGAGACACGGTGTCAGTTGACCATGCTACTTCAACCTGCTCCACAGAACACACATCACCTTCCCTGTGGCTTACATTAACATAACATTCCCAAAATGGCCAGTACCTGCAGCCCCGTGAACCCAGCGGAGAACCTCAGGCCGCAAGGCCCGGGGAACCAAGAGCTGGAGTATGTCGCCTCCCCAGTCTGGCGCTCGCCACCGCCAGTAAAGTACACTGCCATGGAGCTCCAGGTTGTTCCACTGGGAGTACAGGGACTTCGTCTCGGGCCCCTGGGAAGACACGGCGGACCAGTCTGGCCGTGTCCCAGCCTCCATCCAGTCCCTCACCATCCCCAGCACTGGATCGCTCACCTGTTGCTGCTGCAGCTCTGCCGCGGTGAAAGGTTCCCACCCTTCACCCTTAACCTCGGGTTCTGCTGCTGTTGATGTGGGAGCCTGGTCCAACTCCTCCAGGCGCCTGCAGTACCGACACTCCTCCGCAGAACAGGGGCGCCTGGACAGGGTGTCGGCGTTGGCGTGTTGCCGCCCTGGTCGGTGCTGGGCCTCAAAATCGAACTCTTGTAGTATTTCCAGCCACCGGGCCAACTGACCCTCTGGTTGGCGAAAGTTCAGCATCCAGGTTAGGCTGGCGTGGTCGGTCCTGAGCAGGAACTTAGTGCCCAAGAGGTAAGGTCGGAAGTGACGAACCGCCAGGACCACAGCCAACCGCTCATGCCGGGTAACACAGTAATTCCTCTCTGTCCGGCTGAGACTGCATCTGTAGTATGCCACTACTCGCTCCTCCGCCTCTCCCCCTTGGGAGAGCACAGCTCCGACCCCCACGTTGCTGGCGTCGGTGTCCAACAGGAAAGGCTGGCTGGGGTCAGGATACGCCAAGACCGGGGCACTCACGAGGGCAGTTTTCAACTGTTCGAAGGCCGCTGCACAGTCCTCAGTCAAACCAAACCGCCGGCCCTTGTTCGTCAACTGATGCAAGGGGCTAGCGACGGTGGCAAAGTCTTTTACAAACCTCATATAATAGGAGGCTAGCCCCAGGAAGCTTCGTAGCTCGGTGACATTCGCCGGGGGGGGGGGGGGGGGGGGGGGGGGGGGAAGTCCCCCACAGCAACCACCTTCTCCGGATCAGTAGCCACCCCTTTTTTGCTCACCACATGTCCCAGGAACTTCACCTAAACTGCCACAGTCCTTGCCCAATGGTGAAGGCAGTCTTGGGTCGTGCCTCATCAGCAAGCTCCACCTGCCAGTACCCACTGCGGAGGTCTAGCGAGCTGAACCAACTGGACCCAACGATGTAATCCAGTGCATCATCGATGCGAGGTAGCGGGTAAGAGTCCTTGCGGGTTACCGCGTTCAGGCGCCTGTAGTCCACACAAGGCCGCCAACCCCCTGTTTTCTTCCACACCATAACTACAGGTGTGGCCCATGGACTATCCGAGGGTTCAATGACGCCATTAGCTGCCATCTCTTTTATCAGTTCCTCGGCAGCTTTGCGTTTGGCGAGGGGCAGGCGTTGGGGCCGCAGCCGGATTGGGGCAGCTGCTCCAGTGTCGATGTGTGCTGCACCAGGTCCGTCCTTGTACAGTCCTCTTCCCTGGTGGCGAAAGTATCCACAAACTCTGCCAGGAGGCTCTGCTGCGTCGCACTGAGGTGCACCCCACTCCGCCGCCCAAGCTCCTCTACTGCCGCGACAGTCTCAGGCGACGGGGAGACTGCCGAGCTAGGCGGCGACTCTGGCTGCGGGATGTTGGCCCTGCTCACGTTCACCCCCTGGGTCCTCTTCCGCCCCTTTTCTGCCCTCGACCCCTGGCTGTGGCCTGAAACTGTGGGGCGCGAGAGCTTTGGGGGTGCCGGCGGGGTGGGGGCCCACTTGGAGCTGCACAGTCTCAGCACCAAGGTGGATGGCAACTCCCGGCACATCGACCTGTGCCCCCCAGTGGGTTAGCAAGTCCAGTCCAACAATGCACTCGTCTGTTATATCGCCAAGCCAGAACTCATGGTTCACTCTGTTTGTGCCCACCACCACCTGCAGAGTCTTTCTCCCCGGCATCACAGTCTTTTCTCCTGTGACAGTGTACAACGCTGTGTGAGTAGGGGTCCAATCCGTTGGCAATGACCCGGCCGTCTCCGGTAGCACCCCCCTCCGCAGCAAGCAGATGGTGGACCCTGTGTCCACCAGGGCCCGGCAAGACCGTCCATCAATGATACAGTCCAGGTATAGTCCACGGGTGGACCCACAGCGGCCCACCACAGGATGAGTGTCACGGAGAGGGTTTAATGATTGGGGTGGGGGTCCCCTCACTCTCCCACCCCGTGGCCGTTTCCCGTCGGTGATGTCACTCGGGCCCGAGGACTAGGTGCAGGACAGTTCTGGGCAAGGTGCCCGGGCTCCCTGCACTGATAACAACAGTCTGTCCGGCGCTTCCGACGGGGGACTGCTTCTGGTTGGGCTCGTCTGGCCTCCTCCTCTTCATCCGACTGGTCCGTGCTCATCTCTCGCTCGACCCCCCTGACTGATCGTCGGGTTACTGGTTCACCCCTCAGCACCTCCTCTGCCCGCTCTGCCTCCCTCAACGCCTCCTCCAGGTCTCGGGGGGATGACAGCCGGACATGCTGTCGCAGCCACTCCGGTGTGAGACCCCTCAGGAAGGCGTGGAGACCCAGCTCCTCCTGGGCCGCTCCTGAGAAGGTTGGATAGCCCCGTCGGGCGTAGAGGCGGACGTCCGCGGCAAAGGACCCCAGGCTCTCTCCCTCACGTCAGCGTCGGCTAGCCAGCTCTTCCCTGCTCTGTTCAGCTAGTGGTCTCTGTCCAAACCGTCTGCCGAGCGACGTAGTCAGAGCCCGGAGGTCGCGCTGCTCCTCTAGGGGCAGGTCCAGCAGAACCTGGAGTCCTGGGCCCTCCAGTGCGAGCGCCAGGTGGGTGGCAGTCTCTTCTTGACCCCACCCGTTGTGAGTGGCAGCCAGCGTGACTTGGGCCAGGTACGGCTCTAGCTGTGTCGCCCCGGTGTAATGCTGCAGTTTAGCAACCGACCTGCCAGGGAGCTGTGGCGCAACCCCAGGAATCTCTTCCCGCCGCAGGGGGTGTCTGTTCCGGGACGCACGGTTGCCCTCTGGCCACCCCAGCTCCGGTCTTCTTTGCTGGGTCTCGGCAGCCATGTTTTGTAATATCATGTAGTTGTCCCGGATTACACACTCTATTTCGCCTATGGTTGGCTCCATAGTGTCTGCTAGACACTCAGCGAACCCACTTCTGACACCAATTGTAGCGAACCCACTTCTTGACACCAATTGTAGCGACCCCACTTCTGACACCAATTGTAGCGACCCCACTTCTGACACCAATTGTAGCGACCCCGAGCATCTCAGCGGCAGGTTTATAGTCCCCAAATCAACCAGCAGAGGGCAGTAGTGGTTCACACCAGACCTTTATTAGGCTTTTTCTTCCACACTTTATAACACTACAGACACCGATCCTCTATCACGCTCCTACCACACAGAGTCACGGTGTCAGTTAACCATGCTACTTCAACCCGCTCCACAGAACACACATCACCTTCCCTGTGGCTTACATTAACATAACACTCACACAACACGCAAATCAACATATAGGAACTAGCAGAACGATAGGAAACACATATAACACAATACCCAGAATGCACCTGGCTTACAACCCCAGCCAGGTCATTACACTATAATAAATGTATCATAGTATAGTGTATGTATAATAATCTCCAAAATTATACATTCACACAACTATAAGTATTGGGGGAAAAGCATATTTGCTCTATGTGGATTAATTTGTCTAATAAAGGATTAGGTAGAGAAATAGAACAGTAAAAGCTAACGTCTTACAAATCAGCATTTTTATGAATCACTTTCTCGACATGGGTGAAAGTAGTTGGTAAATTGTCATTGTTCTGAGAATATTCAAATGTTTTTAACAACTAAGGCATAGGCGGAGATCCCAGGGGGGACGGGGGGTACGCGTCCCCCCCTCACACAAAGTTGTCCCCCCCACAAAAGCTATTGTAAATGTATAAATTCTATCAGTAAACCTGTATTGTCTTCTAAAACACAATGTAAAAGTTAGTCTGCAAATACAAAACAATGTGTTTTTAATTGTTGAGAAATTATAGTCCCCCCCCCCCCACCCCCCCACCCCCCCAATTCCTCAAGTTGGTACGGTCGGTCCACACGCGCTGTTTCCAACGGGTGGGGCTTTCGGCTTTGCCTTGCTCACAGCTTCACAGCAGCCCGCATGCTCACAGGAAGCGGGAATCAATAATCCAGCGGTTTCCTGCAGTAAGTCAATTATCACACGCTTGTTCTACAAACTTAAACATGTATGTCAAATGTGGTCATAAATGTCAAACATAGACACCGATTATCTTTAGATTTTGATCACCGGTCGCCGGAGATCCCTTTATGACAGACCACCACCACATTCATCTGCTAAAAAGGATGAAACACGGACATTTCATCGATCTATAAATGCTCCGCAGATTCCAGGGGCAGACCGTGAAAGTGTACGTGTCCGTAAAAAGGAACTTTTGGTCACCTTAGTGAATGGAATAATAATAGCGGAATAACCCTGGAATGACCAGAGAACATGAAGTGACAACTTTTTTTACTGTGCTGGTCCGATGTATGGAAAACCACACAGCGTTTAACCGCTCTTATCCCGTCTTCCCCAGGCTCTGCAGTTGTTTACAATATGTCAAAGTGCAGGTGCACCGTGCAGCTTAGGGATGAACTGCTTGCAGCAAATGTGTGGTGGAGGCACGTTGCTCAAAGCTCTCAGTGTAAAACATAGAGCCAAAGATCGCGTTGGCCACACAGACCCAAAAACACTATGAAAACTGAGAAAAGTGACAGATAGATTAAACTGAAAGAGTGGATATGACAACGGACAATTGATGTGGACATAATAATTAACAAATGTGAACAGTTATGGGACTGAAAGAACTGGTGAGGGACTGCACAAATATAAATTGATATTTAAGTTTAAAAAGGGGGCAGAAATAATAAGATTTTTCTTCTATCTGCTCCCTTTCATTCAAATATATATTGTGTTTTCATGAATATTGTTTAGTATCTGTTGTGTTATTTTTTATTGAATGAAATAAAGATTAAAAAAAACTATAGAGTATGTATATGTTTAGTGTATTTGTAAAGTAAATGTTTTTAATTTTTATTATTAAAATGAAACAAATATTTCAAGAATAAATTTTTAGATTTTGTGTATCTTTTCGTTCAGTAGGACTTAGATAAAGTTATTAAATATTACAGAGTTATTTTCTAACAGCCTACAAACATTTCTATGATATATTAAAGAGATTTCAGTCATTTTGATACTTGACTTGTGAAAGCTGATTTGAAGGTTGTTATTTTTTCTAGACATATTTAGAAGGAACAATTCAAAAATATTAAAATCAATATGGAATTATTTGGATTTTAGTAGCTTTCATGTTATGTGATTTAATTAAATTTTCATTTGACATTTATGTTCTCTCTCTTTGTTGTGAAAAAGTTAGATATGTTTTAGTACTTAAAATTAATGCTTTGCATCCGTCCGCACGTGTAGCTGTTGATCAGCTAATAGCCGTGTCATTTCAGGACATGTTGCTTCAACTATTAACGATCTACTTTTAAATCTTTATTCTGAATTGCTTATTCCGTTTTAGGCCACAGTCTTGTTATTGAAATGAAAACAAAAAGAAAGGATGCTTATGGAGACGTACAAAATTGGCAAGATATTATTGTTGATCAATATCCTCCAGCTCCGTTCTAATGACAACATCCCATCTGTGTGTGTGTTGCTGTCCAACTGTCAGCAGACCAGGTCAGTTGAAATGGCAGAGAAACGAAAAACGGCAGACATCAGGTCGTTTTTTTAATGCTCCAGAACGTCAAGTAAGTAGAAACTTGCATTTTGATAAAGACATCTATAAGAAAGAAATGAAATGCCTTTGAAATTGTTTCTAAATGGTTTCATTAGGCAAAGTCCAGTCACTTGAGGACAGGCAGCCAGAGCCTGTCAGACACAGGCACAGAGTCTCAGGTCAGTCTCTTATAAGGACATACAGCGTTGTATGTAGAGCATTTTTTTCATGTCCCCCCAAAAAATTACTCTCTGAAGTTTTACTGTTTATTGTCCCCCCCAAAATTGACATGGGATTTCCACCCTTGAACTAAGGGGTTAATTTTTACAAAATGGCTATATTGCTTCTTACACTATCCGCAGAAGATCCTTTAGATGCAGCAGATGGACGTGGAGACAGGTTTTCTTCCACAAACGCTCAGATTTTCTGCATCGGTGCTTCAGGCTGCGAAGGCTGTCGTTGGACCAGGGAGTAGGGTTCACTGCAGGAACTGATCTAGTTCTGACAGGACAGATGTTGTCCAGCATGGAGAGGCAGTGCTTGTTAAAGTGAGTAGTTAAGGAATCTGGGTTAGTAGCAGAATAAGGGGGAATAAAAGCAGCAGAAAATGTGTGTAACGTAGCTCAAGGCATGCATTTCATCAAATGACCGGAAGTTAACTTTCTTTTTTGCATGTCATGCCAATCTGACCTATCCTGGTCCATATCCAACTCACAACCGATTATGAGGGTTCCTTAACTTATCATGTGCCATATCACAAGACATCAAGACACCTGTGAAGACACAAGACTCTTTATCAAATCCTTTTAATAACGTAAACTTTTCTGGCTCATAAAATTACTTTAACTTTACAAGTTGTTACAATCATATAGTCTGTGGTACCTACAATATGTTTTGAAATCTAAAGTGTTTTAATAATGTTGAATGCCCAACAGTAATTAATGCTGGGCTAAAAGGAATGTTTATTCCTATAGTACAGCAGTATACAGCAATTCCCAACCTTTTTGATATTTAATATTTTAATTTTTGTACCTTTTTACTGGTTTTATTAGAGGTCCCACTCGTGTCACATGACCAAGGAACCAAGGGTCAAGGCTCTAAAATGTGAATTCCTAATGAATCCCCCAGCAGCAAGTCACATGGGTGGCATCTGGGAATGACAGATTAGGACTATTCGAAGTGTTCTCACAAGTATTCTTGACAATTCAGCTCAAAGACTGGACAGTTCACATAAAATAATGTCAAATGTCAATAGCTGACCACTTACTGTTGAGAATTTGAATGATCCATCCACACCTGAAACTTTAACTCCAAATCACATTCTTACAATTAAGTCAACAATTATCCTTCCTCCACCTGGGCAGTTTGTCAAAGAAGACTTGTATCTTAAAAAAAAGATGGCGCAGAGTCATGTTTGGCCAATGATTTTTGGATTCGCTGGAAAAGGGAATATCTGCTGAGTTTACAACAAAGACAAAAATGGTATAAAACCAGAAGAAACTTCAAAGTCAATGACCCTGTACATTTGCAGAACGAGCAGGCACCACGAAATGAATGGAAACTGGCCAGAATAGCAGAGGTCTATCTAGGGTTAGATGATAAAGTAAGAAAAGATTGTTGGTTAGCGATACCACATTTGATGGAAAGGGTAAACCTATGGCTAAAACAGTGTTCCTTGACAAACCTGTACATAAACTTGTTACACTGATTGAAGCAAATGAAAGTACCGTACTTAGGGTTTACCAGTCCCTAAGAGGTAATATCTTTCCAGTGCTAAACATATTTGGTGGGAGTGTAACTGTTGTTGCTGTTTATTTCTTAATTTATGTTTCCATTTGTAAGACACAGGGTTGAAAAGGAAGGTTGTTTTGTTTCCTGTATAATGAACTTTTATTTTGAAAAGCTACATTTGAGCTGCTCTACCAGCCACATCTTTAATGATGGATGCAAACCAGGTGTGTGAAGATCACACAACCTGGATGAAGTGCTGGCAAGCAGACAGCTGAGAATGGATTGAAAGCATTCATTCCATTGCTAAAGAAATAACAAAAGGACTGAAGAGGAAAGATGGATTCCCTTTTGTTTTGAGCAAACAGCCAACGAGGTATTTATTTGTCTTTATTTTTGTTGCACATTATTGTGTTTGTTCTAACTGTAAAATCCTGTATATTCAGTTTCACGGTTTAAAGGTCTTTGGAAAGAAAGACAGAAGAGGTCAACGATGAAAGACATTCAAAAAGCCCATAAAATAAATCACTTGCGTCTGTGTTGCTTGGAGGGTGTCATACAGGCCATTCACCATGTTATGCTGTAACTTACTGATTAAATTGGGACAACAAAACATACATTTGACTACTTTCTGTACATAACCACAAAACAATGGATATAAACATTCATACATAATACTGGCAAAAAATATAATCATCATTAAGTTTTCAGAACCTGTTGTAAACACATCTTACAATATTACTAGCTGTATGAAATTACAGAATTTCTCAAACAAACACTTACACCACCATCTCGAGTGGCTTCCTAAATGTATGTGCCGCCGCTGTTGAGCCACAGCGCTGTTAGCACAATATTGATAAAAAGGGACTTGGGCAACTGCTCACACCTTTTACAATGACCCGCACTTGTATAGCGCCTCTCAGAGTAAGGAATCCAAAGCGCTTTACACTACAGTGTATCATTCATCCATTCACACACATTCATACACTGGTGGGGATGAGAGGCGAGGCTGCCGAGCACAGGCGCCTGCGGACCCTCCGACCACCACCAGCAGGCAAGGTGGGTTAAGTGTCTTGCCCAAGGACACAACAGCAGAATTCTCTGTCCGGAGCCGGGATCGAACCTGCAACCTTCCGATCAATGGACAACCCGCTCAACCTGTTGAGCTACAGCTGCCCCACAATGCCACGCACCTTTGTAAAACCTGTGCATGTGCACGGGCAAGCAAACTAGTAAGTATTAAACATTTTAAAGCTTCCTCTGTGTCAGAGCTAGCATTAAAATCCATATTATTTTCTGGATCAAGCTAACACATCTCCCATTGCCTATGCCACTTCTGGTTTGATAGAAAAATATTTTTCTCACAAAAATGAGCCTAAATTCATGTTTGTGTAAATTTTTATTTAAAACACGCTCCTGTTATGTTTCTCTAAACATTGGTTTAAGGGAGACTAATCTGCAATTTACTCTAAAAGAGGTGGCTCACATCCTGAATCCAGCCATGATCTAGGACAGTTAACGCTGATCCCTACTGCACACTGGAAGCATCAGCGGCACGGAAAGACAGCGAAACGGCATTGCTTAAAATAGAATCCATTACAGTCTATGGAGTGTAACAATCCAGCTGCGACGCTGCAATTTTCAGACGCGTCCCAGAAGCAGCGTGGTGCAGCATACTGCTAAAGATAGAATCGGGTTCTTTTTTCCCCACTTCAGGGATGCGTCAATTACCGCAGTTAACATAAGGCCAGACAGGAAATCACACACGGTTTCAGTGTAAAATCCACAGTAACTTTCAAAATAAAAGTACTGCAGCTAATGCTATTTCATATATATGAAGCTTACGTGTGACCGTACAACATATTTACTCGCAGTATTGTTCCAGAAGTGCAGCGGTGGGTTTTCATTGTTTTTTTCCTGGCAGTGGAGAGGAACAACATCATATATGACATCAAACAGCAACAATGTAATTTCTTTCTTTTTGGTTTGATGGTGGATTGCATAAACAAATTGTAACCTTTGAAGTCTAGAGGGAGCCTTTTTGTGATCCTGCTGCTTCGCTGCTGAGACTCTCCCCATGTGCACTCGAGTGCAGTGATTGTCGCGAGTACACCGTTCCACTGATGTTCCGTGCCATCTGATGCTTTCAGTGTGCAGCCTGGATAAAGGACAGTTAACCAGGGGTACAAGACTGATATCTAAAACTAAAAAAGTCCCTATTTGGAACTCTTGTAGTTAAATGAGTTTCTTGTGTCCTGTGTGGACTCTCATGTGACTGTTTAAACTTGACTTACAACTAAATCTTGCTTCACAGAGCTCACAGACAAAAGCTTTCTGTCCTGTGTGAACTCTCATGTGTCCGTTTAAAGTTGTCTTATGTCTAAATCTTTGTCCACAAAGCTCACACACAAAAGGCTTCTCTCCCGTGTGGACTCTCATGTGACTGTTTAAACTTGACTTACAACTAAATCTTGCTTCACAGAGCTCACAGACAAAAGGTTTCTGTCCTGTGTGAACTCTCATGTGTCTGTTTAAACTTGACTTACATCTAAATCTTGCTTCACAGAGCTCACAGACAAACGCTTTCTGTCCTGTGTGAACTCTCATGTGCCCGTTTAAAGTTGTCTTATGTCTAAATCTTTGTCCACAGAGCTCACAGACAAAAGGCTTCTCTCCTCTGTGGACTCTCATGTGACTGTTTAAATTTGACTTACAACTAAATCTTGCTTCACAGAGCTCACAGACAAAAGGTTTCTGTCCTGTGTGAACTCTCATGTGCCCGTTTAAAGTTGTCTTATCTCTAAATCTTTGTCCACAGAGCTCACAGACGAAAGGCTTCTCTCCTGTGTGGACCCTCATGTGACGGTTTAAACTTGATTTACAACTAAATGTTGCTTCACAGAGCTCACAGACAAAAGGCTTCTGTCCTGTGTGAACTCTCATGTGACGGTTTAATTGTTTGCTTTGGCTATATCTTTGTCCACAGAGCTGACAGGCAAAAGGCTTCTGTCCTGTGTGGACTCTCATGTGACTGTTAAAAGTTGACTTACAGCTAAATCTTTGTCCACACAGCTCACAGGCAAAAGGCTTCTGTCCTGTGTGGACTCTCATGTGACTGTTTAAACCTGACTTACATCTAAATCTTTGTCCACACAGCTCACAGGCAAAAGGCTTCTGTCCTGTGTGGATTCTCATGTGACTGTTTAAAATGCTCTTATAGCCAAATTTTTGTCCACAGAGCTCACAGGGAAAAGGCTTATGTCCTCTGTGGATTATCATGTGTGTGTTTAAATGTGTGCTTCGGCAAAATCTTTTTCCACAGAGCTCACAGGCAAAAGGTTTCTGTCCTGTGTGGACTCTTGTGTGACTGTTTAAATGTGTCTTTTGATTAAATCTTTGTCCACAGAGCTCACAAGAAAAAGGCTTCTGTCCTGTGTGGACACTCATGTGACTGTTTAAAGTTGTCTTATGGCTAAAACATTTTCCACACTGATCACAGGCATAAGGCTTCTGTCCAGTGTGGACTCTCATGTGTCTGTTTAAACTGGACTTATGGGTAAATCTATGTCCACAGAGATCACAGGCAAAAGGTTTCTGTCCTGTGTGGTCCTCCATGTGACCGTTTAAATGTGATTTTGTACTAAATCTTTTTCCACAGTCATCACAACAAAATGATTTTAGTTCTTTCTGGACTTTCCTGCACGGGTCTATACATTGCTTCCCTCTAACACATTTCTTATTAACCAAACAGCCAGAAGACCTTATTGCTGGATGACTTGTCACTCTCACATGTTTCTGGAGAGACGACTTATGAAGAAATTGTTTACCACACTCAGGGCAGCTAAAGGATTTGACAGTCTTAACATCTGACTCAGAAGACCTTCTCTCATTCCAATCATTGTCTTCATCTCTAGTTTCAGACTCTGAGTCTGACAGCTCAGAGTTGAGATTCACATGACCACCACCACCATCGTCATCATCATCATCATCTCCACTAATTGCCAACTCTGAAGAATCAAATGTCTGCTCATGAAGGTTCATGTCTAGGTTCCTGCTAGTTTCTGCCCTTCCACCAATTTCTGCTGTCGCCTGGTCATCTGAGCTCCTGGCTGTGACATTTTGGTCTTCTATTTGCTGCTGATGAAATTGTAAGAACAAAGACTTCTCTTCAGCATCCTCTCTCTTTCTTGAAACTGCAGAGAAAAAGTAGAAGTATATAAAAAACAGGTATAATCAGATGACAGAGTACCTAGTAGTGTTTGTGCAATCAGCAATATACACAACCAGTGTTGGGAAGTAACGTCACTAGTTGTGGTATTGCATCATTTCTACCAATAACTATGCAACCAACAACTAGGATGCAACAAAAATAAACACGAATAGTCTAGTAACAAAGTTCCTTTTGGCAAAATAAAGGTTTAGTTTTGTCCAGTCAGTTGCACCAATGCCACCAAGTAAACAAATCACATGGTGGTGTACAGCTTTACACATAAATAAAATGAGGACATTAAAGATGATCATTTCTTGTAAATTTAATTTTGGAGCAATTGTGTTATTTATATAAATTATCCAATAATTTGCTGTTATGGTTTACCTCTTCTCCTTTTTGTTTTAATTTATTCTGGTTATGGTTCTTTTCTCCTGCTCATTTCTGTATTTTGTGTTTCTGTGCAGATCAGCTGCGGCCGGACGCTCCGACCCTTGACTGTGTGTTCCGCGGTGTCGCCACTGATTGCAATCCTCAATCACCACCCTGATTCAAGCCACGGTTGCCTGTCCCCGGTGTGTCGTCTTGAATGTTTGGACTAAGCTTTAGTGAACCTCGTGTTAACTCTCTCGAGTATGATGTTCTGTTTTTGGCTTTTTCCCACCGTGTGTGGTAATTTTTTGTCATTAAAGAAAAGAGGCTTCCTCAACCTAAGCTTGGTTCTCCTTCCTGCTCATGGGTTGCTACTCAAATCACGCCCCACAGTGACATTACAACGCCACCCAGATGTCCAACCCAGCAGGTGGCACTCAGAACTTCGACGGATCCTTACCTTCGGCCGAGTAGGTCTCGATGACTGGAATTGGGCTTCCAACACTGGTCCAGGAAGTACACAACTACTTATCTGGGATGCAGCAGCTGCATGGCCATCCGTCTCGACTGGAGCAAGGCCCTGTGTCATCCCAACGGGCTCGGCTGGGCCCTCCTGAGCCCTTTGATGGCACTGCAGAGGACTGCCGACCATTTCTCGCCTCGTGCTGGCTCCATTTTGAGTGTAACCCTAGTGACTTCCCTTCAAGGAAAAGCAAGGTGGTCTTTGCCATGAGTTTCCTGATGGGAGGAGCCAAGAAGTGGGGCCTGGAAGAGTGGGACAAAGGCATGGAGCTTGTCCGCTTCTTCCAGACGTTTTCCAAACAACTCCTCACCGTCTTTGATCCAACTATGCCACACTGGACTGCCGCTTCTGAGCTAATCTGGCTCAGACAGGAGGGCCGCAGCGTGTCTTCCTATGCTGTGGATTTCCGGACACTGGCAGCCAACACTCGCTGGACTGATGACGCAGTGGTCGACATCTTCCTTCAGGGACTCTGGCTCACTCAAGGACGAGCTGGCAGTGAGAGAAATACCAGAGCAGCTGGAGGATCTAGTCGCCACCACTTCTCTCCTCCTCTCTACTTACGCAAGCACCTCCCAGCTCAGATACAAGTCCTCGCCCCGGGCTCCGCCTTTCATGGAACCTATGCAACTGGGAGTGAGGAGGCTCTCAGGGGCTGAACATCAGAGGCGTATGAGGGAGGGGCTGTGTTTATACTACGCACAACCCAGCCATCTGGTTCATCACTGCCCGGGAAACGCTGGGGCCCGCTAGCAAGAGGGGAGCTAGCGGGTCGGGTTTCCTACTTTTCCCCACCCTCAAGACCAATGACACGGGTGCTGGTTACAAACGGTTCAGAACAAGGTGAATTCGAGACTCTGGTTCAGATGGTGATTTGATTTCAAAGGCTGTGGTAAGCAAACATTTAATTCCAGTTGTTACCATTTCACCTGCCCTGTTTATCCACACAGTTCATGGTTCCCATATTCATAAGATTACTACCTACACTGTACCTGTTATAGTTACTGTCTTGGGGAATCATACGAAACGGTTAAGCTTTTTAGTAGTTGATTCTCTGACACCCTCAGTAATTGAATTTCTCTCTGGGATTAATGAAGTATTTTCAAATTGAATTGAGTTATCCTAGGTTATCCTTGGTTATGCAAACATTGCCCCCATCTGGACTGGGTTTCCGGCCGCGTAATAACGTGGAGCTCTTTTTGTTTGTTAAATTGTTTATCTGCTGCCCCGGTACGTTCTGTTCATCACCCACTACCTTCAGAACTGCCTGACATTGATAATGTCCCTTCCGAGTACTCAGACCTGGCCGCCGTGTTCAGCAAATCTACAGCCAAGGACCTATCTCCCCATCGCCTTCACGATTGTCCCATAGACCTTCTGCCCGGTGCTCAGCCTCCTAAGGGTCACATCTATCCTCTCTCCATTCCTGAGACAGCGGCAATGGAGGAGTCCATTCAGGAAGGACTGCAGGCTAGAATTGTTCGCCCATCCTCATCTGCGGGGGCAGGGTTTTTCTTTGTGGGAAATGGAGCCAGCCCAAGGCATATGCAAACTAAGCGACTACTTTGGGCCCCCACATCACCAGGGTCCCCCAAGAACACTAAGGTGGCATGAGTAAAAAAAAAACAATGCATTTATATAATTTTCTGTAGTGTCATTTGGTTTTTGTTTGTAATGCAGCACACTTTACATGTTTGAAATTTTAAAAACAAAAGATAGTAAACCGAATCGAGTTACTGTAAATTTAGTGTTTGTCTGCTGATGTTTCTTTCAAATAGCTGAATTAATATACCACACTTAAATAACACTCTTCATTTTAAAATGCTAATTATTTAGTGTGGATTGCTACTCCAATAAAGTTAAAATCAATATACACAATAACACCAGATTGATGTGAGCTAATTACAAAATATGCTAATGATAGTGGACATGTTACACAAATGGTGCCTAAGAATGATGAATCATCTGGTGTTGACTTTTTGGTTTGGGGGGTCCGCAAGGGAAACCTATTTAGGGCCCTACAACGGCTTGGGCTGGCCCTGGTGGGAAAACACGATGAAGGCCTTTGTTCTTGCATCGACTACAGGGGTTTGAACAGCATCATGGTCAGGAACACTCACCCCCTGCCCCTTCTACGATCTGCCTTTGATCAGGTGAAGGGGGCCCGGATCTTCACTAAGCTAGACTTGCTGAAAGCGTACCGTTTGGTGCGTATTCAGGAGGGGGAAGAGTGGAAGACTTCCTTTACCACCCCTAACAGCCATTTTGAGTACCTAGTTATGCCGTTTGGCCTCACGAATGCCCCAGCAGTTTTTCAGTGTTTTATCAATGATCAATGATGTGCTCAAGGACATGCTTAATTTGTGTTTGTTTACACTGATGACATTTTGATTTTTTCCCCAGACCGTGAGACTTATGTGCAGCACGTCAGAGCTGTCCTTCAGTGCCTCCTTGAGAACCAGCTTTTCTGCAAGGCTGAAAAATGTGAGTTCCATAGCATTACAACCAAATTCCTTGGGCACGTGGTTTCTCCAGGGTCTGTTCAGATGGACAAGGACAAAGTAAGAGCAGTTCTCGAGTGGCCTGTACCCACTGGTCGTAAGCAGCTCCAACGCTTTCTGGGGTTTGCAAATTTCTATAGGTGCTTCATCAGAGGCTTCAGTGGCGTGGCTGCACCCTTCCATATGGGCCATTCTCATCTGTACCGGGTCGGCCCGGGCCGGGTAGCATAGGTTGTTTACATATCTGGGTGGCCTGGTATTTTTCCGGGCCGACCAAGGCTCATTCTCAGCCCTCTTCTCGAGGGGTCTGCTTCAGGCCGACCAGGGCCAACACACCCACTGCTGACAGCAAATTCACACCTTCCATTAGAGCAAGCCTCTGATTGGTGTGTAGAATCAGCCCACACGGGCTTAAGGCAAGGATGTGTGGAATCAACAGGGCCAGGCTGGGGCCCACTGGGGCTACCCGGCCCGGGCCGACCCGGTACAGACGAGAATGGCCCAATAGACTCACCTCGGCTAAGGTAACCTTTGTCTGGGACACAGCTGCCGACAAAGCCTTTGCCGAGCTTAAGAGAAGATTCTCTGCGGCCCCTATCCTGACCCAGCCAGACACCTCCAAGCAATTTATTGTGGAGGTGGACGCGTCTGAGTCAGGGGTGGGCGCTGTGTTATCACAGAAGGCGTCTGATAACAAAATCCATCCCTGCGCGTATTTCTCCTGCAAGCTCTCCCCTGCAGAGAGGAACTACAACATAGGGAACAGAGTTGCTGGCGGTTAAGCTAGCACTCAAAGAATGGCATCATTAGTTGGAGGGAGATGGCAAGACCTTTGTAGTGCGGACTGATCACAAAAACTTGGAATGTATTCGGACTGTTAAGTGCCTCAACTTCCACCAAGTCTGCTGGGCCTTGTTTTTTGACCATTTTAACTTCCCCCTTTCTTATCGCCCTGGCAGCAAGAACATCAAACCGGCTGCCCTGTCCCGCCAAGGAGTCAAGACCAACGTGCCCCCTAAGTTGGTGCTTGGGGTCACCCACTGGACCTTGGAGCGCAGGATCAAGGCTGCAGTTCCTGACACCACCACCATCCCATCAGGTTGTCCCCCAAACTGCTTATTCGTCACCTCAGGTCTACGTCCTGCTGTGCTGAAGTGGGGACACTCATCACGCCTGGCTTGCCACCCTGGAATGACAAGAACCGCCTTCCTCATAGCTCAGCGATCTGCTGGTGGCCCACCGTGGCCTCAGACATTCGAGCCTTTGTTGTCTAGTGCTCAGTCTGTGCCAGCGTCAAGGTGCCCAGGACTTCCCCAGCTGGTTTCCTCCAGCCTCTACCTGTCCCCTCCAGACCGTGGTCCCACGTGGCCATGGATTTCATCACTGGACTGCCCGATTCCAGAGGTCAAACTGTGATTTTAACTGTAGTGGACAGGTTCTTTAAGTTGGCCCATGCTATACCTCTGCAGAGATTGCCATCAGCTAAGCAACTGGCCAAGTGGGTGGTTTGACACGTTTTCCAGCTGCACTGACTCCCTGAGGACATAACCTCTGATCAAGGCCCTTATTTCGTGTCAGCTTTTTGGAAGAAATTTTGCAAACTCCTGGGAATCAAGGTCAGTCTGAGCTCTGGGTTCCATCCTCAGCCGAACGGGCAGGATTGGCGCTTCAACCAGGACTTGGAGACAACCTTGCGGGCTATGTGCCAGAAGAACCCCCGCTCCAGGTCCACCCAACTTTCCTGGGTGGAGTACTCCCATAACCCCTAGTGAACTCCACTGATTTCTCTCCATTTAAGGCAGCCTACAGATACCAGTCTCCCTTCTTCCGCCATCAGGAGTGGATGGCTTCCACCTCCGGCCACGCAGCGTTTGTGAGATGCTGCAGACGTTCCTGGGTCGAATTACGCTCCCAGCTGGTTAAGAACCAGGAGCGTTTTGCCACGGTGGCGAACTGCTGGCGATCTGCCGCTCCAATCTACAAGGTGGGTGACACGATCTGGCTCTCTTCTGCGGATTTACCACTGAAAGGGGGTACTAGGAAGATGCAACCCCGATTTATCAGCTCGTTACCATCACAAAGATAATAAACATGGTGGCGGTGAGGCTGGCTCTTCCCCGCTCACTACAAGTCCACCCTACCTTGCAAATCAGCAAGCAGAAGCCAGAGAAACTCAGTCCTCTGCTAACACTGCCTGCCTGCATGCCCGCCCCCCCGCTCCTTGCCTAGTGGACAGTGGGCTGGTCTATGTGGTCCACAAGCTCTTGGCCTCGAGGAGAGTCGGCTGAGGTGTCCAGTATCTTATGGACAGGGTGGGTTATGGCCCAGCAGACCGCTAGTGGGTCCCCAAGCGTCACATTCAGCCAAGACCTGATAGAGCAGTCAGACCCGCCGTCCATCTGGTAGCTGGACTTTATGAGGGGGGTTGTGTTATGGTTTACCCCTTTTCCTTTTTGTTTTTATTTATTTATTCTGGTTATGGTTTCAGAGCAACCCATGGCAGCTGTGGCTACATTGTAGGTCATCAGTGTGAATGGATGAATGACTGCTTCTGTTGTGAAGCGCTAAGAAGGTGCTGTGCAAATACTAGGGCTGGGGGTAAACTATTATTTTTAAAACGATTATTCTGACGATTATTTTATCGAATAGTCGACTATTCTAATGACTATTTAGAAAATTAATCTAATGATTATTTTTCTATTGCACAATTAACAAAAACCAGAAAATCTCAAATAAATTCCTCAAAAAAATGGATAAATTCTTACTGTAAGAGAATAAACACTACAGGCCTTCCATTTTGTATAACACTGCTTTTATTGTGTTGCGGTTGGTTATGTTCTGGTGACGTGTAGAACTTGGGAGTGCAGGCTGCTGCCTGAGAGGTGGTAGAAGATGGAGTGTCTCCATGCTGCTTTGTTTAGGTCACTTATGTGCGTGAGGCGAGTGGTCTTACGGGTTAAACCAAACTCAGGTGATATTTTAAACTAAACCGAAAACCCACAACACTCTAAATGTAATAAAAGGGAGATCTACACCACAAAAAAGATGAACTCTAAACCAAAACGTAACAGCTTATCCCAACGCAAGAAGCTGTTAGCGAAGATGCTAACAGTAGCTTTACCAACATTAAGTTCAAGTTACCAAGTTTAAATAAACCAAAAACACCCAGCAGCAAACAGACCAGCACGGAGGAGAGACTGCTACCACCAAAACAGCTCTCCTCATGTCTGAAAGAAGCTCCCTAATGAAGGGAGAAACGCTCCCGGTGATTTTCTACATCTGCGATAGACACGAAGCAGCGCATCTGACCCCGGAAGTTGTTGTCCGTTGCCGGGAGACGAAGGGGCAAAACAGGAAAATAATCTAGTAGTGGACGGACGTTGTTCCGGGTCTTCGGTATTTGGCGGAGATGTTAGTGAAGGCGGAGAAGAGGGCGAACTAGAGGAAAAACAGGCAGATTCCTCCTCTATAAACAAACTCCTGGGGATGCAACAAGTGGGCGCGGTGAGTCGACTTCCGGATCTGACGTCGACAAATTTTAAGAATCGAGCCGTCGACTTCGTCGAGGCTTCGCTACAGCCCTAGCAAATACAGGCCATTTTTAAAAGATTGCACATCACAGGAGACATACTCATAATCTCAGTGTAATGTTCCACCATTAGGTGACAATAAAGCCTTTCATTCCTTCGTTTGTTCATTTAGTACCTGTGTCCATGCTGTCCAGGTCCAGGTGGTGCAGAACACACGATGAAGCAGTCCCAGATCCTGAAGTGGTAGCAGGTTTTCTTTAGCCGTGTTTAGCTAGCAGCTGCAATAGAAACAAAGCAGGAGAGCTGATTAAGACGCTGCTTCAGAACAACGCAGGAGATTAAAGATCCAACGCTTTGGTTCTGATCAGCTGAGGACAGATCCAGTCAGGAAAAGAGGACCTTTGGTCACCAGAGTTCACGGAGTAGAGCTAACCGCTTTTTTCTCCAGAGTCACGTTCAGATTCGGGGTTTTCCCGTCAGTGTGTGTGAGCAGGATGGATCAGAGAGCGAGCAGCGATCCTGCATCATGACCAACTCAGATAACCGAGTCTGATAGAGGTAGTGTTGGGAGTAACATGTTACAAAAAGAACTAATTACGGTAATGCACTGCTTTTTGCTGTAATACGGTCATTACCCCCCTCCCCCATACACACACTCACACTGAAGGGATTTAAGATGACAGTGTGCCAAGCACAGTTTGTTGTTGCATTTGTTTAATAAACAATAATTTTCTTAGGGCCTGTCCAGCTTTGGACACTTTCATCCCTGGGGCTACTGCAATCGTAATCCAGCCCTGATGGAGGTCATCTGATGGACCTGCGGTGCAGAGCTAACCCTGCAGTCAGACAAAGCAGAGATGAGAACCTGCAGCTGATCTAACATTAGCTAGAACGTCCTCCAGATGGGCACATGCCCATAACTTTTAAGTTTATGAAAAATAAGGATATGAAGAACATTGTAGTCAAATGATTCTTGTGTGCTAGACCTGTTATTATATCGGACTGTTTTTAATCATGAGCTACTTTTAGACGGCTTAATCCATATTTAAAGTTATTTTGGTGAGAGTACCTTAAAGTAATGTAATAGTAGTGTAATGTCTTACATTTGAAAGTAAAACAGTGATATTGTAATGTAACAAATTACTTTGAAGTGACAATTACAGGTAATAAATAATGCATTACAGATTTGAAGTAACTTGCCCAACACTGGATAGAGGGAACCTCTTCAATCTGAAGAAAGCAGCAAAACGAGCGCGTTTCTCAGAGAGGCCAAAGGAACAGCAGCAGATCCAGAGGGCAGGAAGTCTAGAGAAAAGCTTTTCCCACCCACAACCTGATTCTGGAGCTCCGATTGTCACGGTTCTGGAAAGAACTCCACCAAGTTGTTGAGAAGAAAGTTTCCACAGCCATGTGATAAATAAAGCGAGGCTTGTACTGAGCAGGAAGGGGGCGTGTCCATCAAATCTCATTTCGACGGTTGCATGGATTGCTTCATTTTGTGAAAAAACCACATGACTGATGACAAATGAGGCCTCATTTTACATGGACCACCTAGCTGTCCTTTTTCTGTTTTCAAAATAACAGCTGCTGAAGGTGCTTTGTGGGTTGTTTTAACAGTTTGGGACGCAGCCATCATAGATTATGGTGGAACAGTTATAGTCTGAAGAAAGCTCACTTTTCATAATTAATGTGTTTTATTCACCAACTATGTGGAAAAACTACACAAATAATGAATAGAAACAAAAGCATGAAAAAGTGAATATTTGATTGTATTTGGATTTTAAATGTTTAAAAACAATGATGTAATTAATTTCATGATGTTGAATTTGAACAAAGGAAAAGCTAAACTTTACTGATCTAATCCAGTTCTTTGGAGAAAATGAATCAAAGCAGTCTTCCAGTTTTACCTGACCAACATTAAAATACATAGTTTGTTATTTATGACTTGAATGTCCTCCAAAGGCCTCAACATCTTATTGACCCAAAGTAAAATAATGCTGCTTGTTTTTCATCAGAGTTCTGTTTTAATTCGAGTAAAAAAAAAAAGAAGGCACAAATAGAGCAGAAATTTTTTTTTTTTAAAGATTCACAATCTAACAAGTTTGAAAATTCAGATAGTGAGAATCTTGGCTTCAAAAAACATAATATATATTAGGACAAATATGTTATTTAGTGTTGTTAATTGAATGTATTGTAGTTCATAAATAATTGGCACGTTGAGCTTTTTGTACGTAATTTGAAGTACAATTACTTAAAAAGTACACAGTGAAAGTAATTTATACTTTGGTACCAGGTAGTTCTTGTGGTACTTAGTATGTAGGTATAGGTGGCCTAGTGTCCTTTTTCCAAAAAGCCATTTTATCCCATCTCAAACTTGCCACTTTTGGCTTTTTGGACCTACTTTGAAGTACAATTACTTAAAAAGTACACAGTAAAAGTAGTTCATACCTTAGTACCAGGTAGTACAAGAGGTACTTAGTATGCATGTATAGGTGACCTAGTGTCCTTTTTCCAAAATACAATTTTATCCTACCTCAAACACGGCACTTTTGGCTTTTTGGACAGTTTGAAGTACAATTACTCAAAAAGTACACAGTAAAAGTAGTTCATACTTTGTTACCAGGTAGTACTCGAAGTACTTAGTATGTATGTATAGAATGCTTAGTGTCCTTTTTAAAAAACACAATTCTATCCTTTATCAAATAGGCACATTTAGCAGCTCTGTGTCATCCTGATGTCAGCCCATTCTGTCGCTCATCTCAGCTCCTATCCAGCAGCGAGACGGGTGTTGCCGTAAACTACCGTATAAACGCGCACTTCAATTGTAGGTGCGGTTCACTTGACCACGGACAAACGAACGAACGACGGCTCACTTGACTGCATTCCACAACGGCGGTGTACGATTTTGGTATACAACCCAACCCTAAAGCTAACTCGCAACACTTTACTGAGCTGCTGAACTGAACAGCAGTGGCATCAAAACAAACCTCATCAGGTCATGTCACTGTTACCACACAAGGGAACTCGATCGCTCACCTAGCTCTACCTGTGGTGAAACCTATCCACGAGGTTTTCTTTTCAGTCAGCGCCCGTCTACACGCCAAGCCTCATGTCTCCACTGCCTTTCTGTGATGTATTTGCGTCGCTGTAACCGACAAAACGAGGCTCAGGCCTCCAGATCAGCGAGTGGTGTTTTATTCTGGCCTGCTTTTTGTGCACAACAGATTACGACTGCCCTCTGCTGGTAGGCAGGAGGAGTACACATTACACTATGATAGAAGTCTCGTCGACAGTACATGAACATCAAAGTAATCGCAAAACTATGAACACTGTGTTACTCCTAGCTGTTAACAATAAGCTAGAAGACATCACAAACCAAGTCTATCAGGTGGTTTAACCACTCTGTCACATACGGCACTGCAACCTTGGTTTAACTGTACCCTCTTGCTGATCTATCGGCATGGACACCTGGGAAGGCATCTCTAAGGGCGATGAAAGATCTGCTGAATGAGTCCAGTCTTTTTCTATTTTTGCATAGCGGGTTTCTGTATCTGTCAGTGACCTAGATGAGAACGCTACAGGATGACTGTCTTGAGTGAGCACTGCACCAAGCCCATAGCTGCTTGCATCACAGTAGATTTCCACCAGCTGCACCGGTGTTCCGACTATCCGTGCTCCCCGTCGAAATGTGCTACTTTGGGGAAATGCGCAAGCCGATTATTGCGTCACAGGCTGTTTACATGTCGAGACGCGCTACCTGTGGAAGTTTACGTTTAATCTCGTCACTTATCTAGTTACTTTCAACTCGTCGAAGGTCACAGTATTTCTTTAAAATGATTTATTAAATTACTGCTTGCTGTATGTTTACCTGACAGTTAGCTTGAAAATGGCTTCTAAAATATTGTTATTTCATTGTAAACAAGAAATTTCTCCCTTTGTTCTCAGTCATTCTGAAAGAGTCCCGAATTAATATCCAAAAGTTTTATATTATACATATTGTAGCGACCCCGAGCGTCTCAGCGGCAGGTTTATAGTCCCCAAATCAACCAGCAGGGGGCAGTAATGGTTCACACCAGACCTTTATTAGGGTTTTTTTTCCACACCTTGTAACGCTACAGACACCGATCCTCTATCACGCTCCTACAAGGCTCAACAGCCTAATAAAAAAGGCTGGTTCTGTTCTGGGGACGACTGTGGAACCACTGGAGGAGATCATGCAAAGAAGGATTCTCCAGAGAATCAAGAAAATGATGGACAACCCTGAGCATTCTCTTCACAAGACTGTCCAACAACGGAAGAGTGTCTTCAGTCAGAGGCTTCTTCAGTTTCGCTGCAACACTGACCGCTACTGGAGATCCTTCCTGCCAACAGCCATTGTAATATACAACAACTCTTTGTTGACTTGATTATTATTATTATCCTGAGCTACTACAGCAATCAATTTCCCTCTGGGATTAATAAAGTATTTTTGAATTGAATTGAATTGAATTGAATACCACACAGAGTCACGGTGTCAGTTAACCATGCTACTTCAACCCGCTCCACAGAACACACATCACCTTCCCTGTGGCTTACATTAACATAACACTCACACAACACGCAAATCAACACATAGGAACTAGCAGAATGATAGGAAACACATATAACACAATACCCAGAATGCACCTGGCTTACAACCCCAGCCAGGTCATTACACTGACCCCCCCCAAAAGAGGTTTAGTGTCCCCACAACCTTAACCGTCCACTCTGAAGTCCTGTAAATATCCGGGCCGGCGTCGAGTACGCTTTGGCCTTGACTGGGGATACATGGCGCCCCCAGCTGAGCCGGGCATAGGGAGCAAGGAATCCCCAGGCTGCCCACCAGTCTGCGGGTTCGGGGCAAGCGGATGGTATGGCGCCAGCCGATTCTTATGCAGCACCACACGTCTTCCCCGCCCCGGCATCCGGACTCGGAAAACCACCTCTGATAGCTGTTCCAGGATCTCGGCCGGGCCTTGCCAGTGACTCATGAGCTTGGGGGTCAGCTCCCGCTTCCGCCGGGGGCAGTACACCGAAACCTGATCTCCGGCCCCCAGCATAGGACCGTGCGCACGGGTATCGTATGCTCGTTTCTGGCGGGCCCCGGCCCCCTCCAATGTCTGTCTCGCCAGCTGATGCACAGTGTGCAACCGCTCCTTGAGCCGCCGGGAGTAATCCATCTCTGGTCCCCCAGCAATTTCCGGCTCAGGGGGCGCCCCGAACACCAAATCCACCGGAGTTCGGATCTCCCTTCCGAACATTAATGCTGCAGGGGTACACTGACTTGACTCCTGCACTGCGGTTCGATACGCCCACAAAACAAGGGGCAGGTGTTGGTCCCAGTCCCTCTGATGCTGGCTGGTCAGGATGGCCAGCTGGGTGGCCAACGTGCGGTTGAACCTCTCAACCAGACCAGACGCGTGAACATCTCATCCACCAGAGTATGCGCAGTCGTTACCGCACTCTGATCCGGCACCGCATACGCCTCTGGCCACTTCGAGAAATAATCCATCGTGACCAGGACGTACCGGTTGCCTGCATCAGAAACAGGGAATGGACCCAGGATGTCCATTCCGATCCGCTCCATTGGCGCCCCAACTAGGTATTGCTGCAATGGGGCATGGGAGCGCTGGCTGGGACCTTTCTGCACTGTGCAGTCTTCACAGCAGTGAACATGGATCTCCACGTCCTGACGACAGCCCGGCCAATAGAACCGCTGTCTCAACCGCCGCACTTCCCATTCCCAAAATGGCCAGTACCTGCAGCCCCGTGAACCCAGCGGAAGACCTCAAGCCGCAAGGCCCGCGGAACCAAGAGCTGGAGTATGTCGCCTCCCCAGTCTGGCGCTCGACACCGCCGGTAAAGTACACTGCCATGGAGCTCCAGGTTGTTCCACTGGGAGTACAGCGACTTCGTCTCGGGCCCCTGGGAAGACAAGGCGGACCAGTCTGGCCGTGTCCCAGCCTCCATCCAGTCCCTCACCATCCCCAGCACTGGATCGCTCACCTGTTGCTGCTGCAGCTCTGCCGCGGTGAAAGGTTCCTGCCCTTCACCCTTACCCTCGGGTTCTGCTGCTGTTGATGTGGGACCCCGGTCCAACTCCTCCAGGCGCCTGCAGTACCGACACTCCTCCGCAGAACAGGGGTGCCTGGACAGGGCGTTGGCGTTGGCGTGTTGCCGCCCTGGTCGGTGCTGGGCCTCAAAATCGAACTCTTGTAGTATTTCCAGCCACCGGGCCACCTGACCCTCTGGCTGGCGAAAGTTCAGCATCCAGGTTAGGCTGGCGTGGTCGGTCCTGAGCAGGAACTTAGTGCCCAAGAGGTAAGGTCGGAAGTGACGAACCGCCAGGACCACAGCCAACAGCTCACGCCGGGTAACACAGTAATTCCTCTCGGCCCGGCTGAGACTGCAGCTGTAGTATGCCACTACTCGCTCCTCCGCCTCTCCCCCTTGGGAGAGCACAGCTCCGACCCCCATGTTGCTGGCGTCGGTGTCCAACAGGAAAGGCTGGCTGGGGTCAGGATACGCCAAGACCGGGGCACTCACGAGGGCAGTTTTCAACTGTTCGAAGGCCGCTGCACAGTCCTCAGTCCAACCAAGCCGCCGGCCCTTGTTCGTCAACTGATGCAAGGGGCTAGCGACGGTGGCAAAGTCTTTTACAAACCTCCTATAATAGGAGGCTAGCCCCAGGAAGCTTCGTAGCTCAGGGACGTTCGACGGGGGTTGGGGGTGGGGGGGCAGTCCCCCACAGCAACTACCTTCTCCAGATCAGTAGCCACCCCTTTTTCGCTCACCACATGTCCCAGGAACTTCACCTGGCGAGCCAGGAGGTTGCACTTAGCCGGGTTCAGCTTTAGTCCAGCCCCGCGGATAGCAGTCAGGACCTCTCGCAGGGTAGCAACAGCCTGTTCAAAGTCCTTGGCATGAGTCAGCAAATCATTCAAATAGACCACGCAGCAGCCGCGGGGAATGTCTTAGAGGACCCTTCCCATTAACCTCTCGAACGTGGCTGGTGCGTTGCATAGTCCAAAAGGCATCACCCTAAACTGCCACAGTCCTTGCCCAATGGTGAAGGCAGTCTTGGGTCGTGCCTCATCAGCAAGCTCCACCTGCCAGTACCCACTGCGGAGGTCTAGCGAGCTGAATCAATTGGACCCAACGATGTAATCCAGTGCATCATCGATGCGAGGTAGCGGGTAAGAGTCCTTGTGGGCTACCGCATTCAGGCGCCTGTAGTCCACACAAGGCAGCCAACCCCCTGTTTTCTTCCGCAACATAACTACAGGTGTGGCCCATGGACTATCCGAGGGTTCAATGACGCCATTAGCTGCCATCTCTTTTATCAGTTCCTCTGCAGCTTTGCGTTTGGCGAGGGGCAGGTGGTGGGGCCGCAGCCGGATTGGGGCAGCTGCTCCAGTGTCGATGGTGTGCTGCACCAGGTCCATCCTTGTACAGTCCTCTTCCCTGGCGGCGAAAGTATCCACAAACTCTACCAGGAGGCTCTGCAGCTGCCGCTGCTGCGTCGCACTGAGGTGCACCCCACTCCGCCGCCGAAGCTCTTCTACTGCCGCCACAGTCTCAGGCGACGGGGAGACCGCCGAGCTAGGCGGCAACTCTGGCTGCGGGATGTTGGCCCTGCTCACGTTCACCCCCTGGGTCCTCTTCCGCCCCTTTTCTGCCCTCGACCCCGGGCTGTGGCCTGAAGCTGCGGGGCGCGAGAGCTTTGGGGGTGCCGGTGGGGTGGGGGCCTGTCCCTAACTACCGCGGCCCACTTGGAGCTGCACAGTCTCAGCAACAAGGTGGATGGCAACTCCCGGCACATCGACCTGTGCCCCCCAGTGGGTTAGCAAGTCCAGTCCAACAATGCACTCGTCTGTTATATCGGCAAGCCAGAACTCATGGTTCACTCTGTTTGTGCCCACCACCACCTGCAGAATCTTTCTCCCCGGCATCACAGTCTTTTCTCCTGTTACAGTGTACAATGCTGTGTGAGTAGGGGTCCAATCTGTCGGCAATGACCCGCCCGTCTCCGGTAGCACCCCCCTCCGCAGCAAGCAGATGTTAGACCCCGTGTCCACCAGGGCCCGGCAAGACCGTCCATCAATGATACAGTCCAGGTATAGTCCACGGGTGGACCACAGGATGAGTGCCACAGGATGAGTGCCACGGAGAGGGTTTACTGATTGGGTGGGGGTCCCCTCACTGTCCCACCCCGTGGCCGTTTCCCGTCGGTGATGTCACTCAGGCCCGAGGACTAGGTGCAGGACAGTTCCGGGCAAGGTGCCCGGGCTCCCCGCACCGATAACAACAGTCTGTCCGGCGCTTCCGACGGGGGACTGCTTCTGGTTGGGCTCGTCTGGCCTCCTCCTCTTCATCCGACTGGTCCGTGCTCATCTCTCGCTCGACCCCCTGACTGATCGTCGGGTTACTGGTTCGCCCCTCAGCACCTCCTCTACCTGCTCTGCCTCCCTCAACGCCTCCTCCAGGTCGGGGGATGACAGCCGGACATGCTGTCGCAGCCTCTCCGGTGTGAGACCCCTCAGGAAGGCGTGGAGACCCAGCTCCTCCTGGGCCGCTCCTGAGAAGGTTGGATAGCCCCGTTGGGCATAGAGGCGGACGTCTGCGGCAAAGGACCCCAGGCTCTCTCCCTCACGTCGGCGTCGGCTAGCCAGCTCTTCCCTGCTCTGTTCAGCTGGTGGTCTCTGTCCAAACCGTCTGCCGAGCGCCGTAGTCAGAGCCCGGAGGTTGCGCTGCTCCTCTAGGGGCAGGTCCAGCAGAACCTGGAGTGCTGGGCCCTCCAGTGCGGGCGCCAGGTGGGTGGCAGTCTCTTCTTGACCCCACCCGTTTTGAGTGGCAGCCAGCATGACTTGGGCCAGGTACGGCTAATGGGCTAATGCTGCAGTTTAGCAACCGGAATCTCTTCCCGCCTGTTCCGGGGCGCACTGTAGCCCTCTGGCCGCCCCAGCTCCGGTCTTCTTTGATGGGTCTCGGCAGCCATGTTTCCTAGAATCGAGTAGTTGTCCCGGATTACACACTCTATTTCGCCTATGGTCGGCTCCATAGTGTCTGCTAGACACTCAGTGATCCCACTTCTGACACCAATTGTAGCGACCCCGAGCATCTCAGCGGCAGGTTTATAGACCCCAAATCAACCAGCAGGGGGCAGTAGTGGTTCACACCAGACCTTTATTAGGCTTTTTCTTCCACACTTTGTAACGTTACAGACACCGATCCTCTATCACGCTCCTACCACACAGAGTCACGGTGTCAGTTAACCATGCTACTTCAACCCGCTCCACAAAACACACATCACCTTCCCTGTGGCTTACATTAACATAACACTCACATAACACGCAAATCAACACATAGGAACTAGCAGAACGATAGGAAACACATATAACACAATACCCAGAATGCACCTGGCTTACAACCACCGCCAGGTCATTACACTATAATAAATTTATCATAGTATAGTGTATGTATAATAATCTCCAAAATTATACATTCACACAACTATAAGTATTGGGGGAAAAGCATATTTGCTCTATGTGGATTAAATTGTCTAATAAAGGATTAGGTAGAGAAATAGAACGGTAAGAGCTAACGTCTTACAAATTTTTACACCATTTTTATGAATCACTTTCTCGACATGGGTGAAAGTAGTTGGTAAATTGTCATTGTTCTGAGAATATTCAAATGTTTTTAACAACTAAGGGTTAATTTTTACAAAATGGCTATACTGCTTCTTACACTATCTGCAGAAGATCCTTTAGATGCAGCAGATGGACGTGGAGACGGGTTTTCTTCCACAAACGCTCAGATTTTCTGCATCGGTGCTTCAAGCTGCGAAGGCTGTCGTTGGACCAGGGAGTAGGGTTCACTGCAGGAACTGATCTAGTTCTGACAGGACAGATGTTGTCCAGCATGGAGAGGCAGTGCTTGTTAAAGTGAGTAGTTAAGGAATCTGGGTTAGTAGCAGAATAAGGGGGAATAAAAGCAGCAGAAAATGTGTGTAACGTAGCTCAAGGCATGCATTTCATCAAATGACCGGAGGTTAACTTTCTTTTTTGCATGTCATGCCAATCTGACCTATCCTGGTCCATATCCAACTCACACCCGATTATGAGGGTTCCTTAACTTATCATGTGCCATATCACAAGACACCAAGACACCTGTGAAGACACAAGACTCTTTATCAAATCCTTTTAATAGCGTTAACTTTTCTGGCTCATAAAATTACTTTAACTTTACAAGTTGTTACAATCATAGTCTGTGGTACCTACAATATGTTTTGAAATCTAAAGTGTTTTAATAATGTTGAATGCCCAACAGTAATTAATGCTGGGCTAAAAGGAATGTTTATTCCTATAGTACAGCAGTATACAGCAATTCCCAACATTTTGGATATTTAATATTTTAATTTTTGTACCTTTTTACTGGTTTTATTAGAGGTCCCACTCGTGTCACATGACCAAGGAACCAAGGGTCAAGGCTCTAAAATGTGAATTCCTAATGAATCCCCCAGCAGCAAGTCACATGGGTGGCATCTGGGAATGACAAATTAGGACTATTCGAAGTGTTCTCACAAGTATTCTTGACAATTCAGCTCAAATACTGGACAGTTCATATGAAATAATGTCAAATGTCAATAGGTGACCACTTACTGTTGAGAATTTGAATGATCCATCCGCACCTGAACCTTTAACTCCAAATCACATTCTTACAATTAAGTCAACAATTATCCTTCCTCCACCTGGGCAGTTTGTCAAAGAAGACTTGTATCTTAAAAAAAAGATGGCGCAGAGTCATGTTTGGCCAATGATTTTTGGATTCTCTGGAAAAGGGAATATCTGCTGAGTTTACAACAAAGACAAAAATGGTATAAAACCAGAAGAAACTTCAAAGTCAATGACCCTGTACATTTGCAGAACGAGCAGGCACCACGAAATGAATGGAAACTGGCCAGAATAGCAGAGGTCTATCGAGGGTTAGATGATAAAGTAAGAAAAGATTGTTGGTTAGCGATACCACATTTGATGGAAAGGGTAAACCTATGGCTAAAACAGTGTTCCTTGACAAACCTGTACATAAACTTGTTACACTGATTAAAGCAAATGAAAGTACCGTATTTAGGGTTTACCAGTCCCTAAGAGGTAATATCTTTCCAGTGCAAAACATATTTGGTGGGAGTGTAACTGTTGTTGCTGTTTATTTCTTAATTTATGTTTCCATTTGTAAGACACAGGGTTGAAAAGGAAGGTTGTTTTGTTTCCTGTATAATGAACTTTTATTTTGAAAAGCTACATTTGAGCTGCTCTACCAGCCACATCTTTAATGATGGATGCAAACCAGGTGTGTGAAGATCACACAACCTGGATGAAGTGCTGGCAAGCAGACAGCTGAGAATGGACTGAAAGCATTCATTCCATTGCTAAAGAAATAACAAAAGGACTGAAGAGGAAAGATGGATTCCCTTTTGTTTTGAGCAAACAGCCAACGAGGTATTTATTTGTCTTTATTTTTGTTGCACATTATTGTATTTGTTCTAACTGTAAAATCCTGTATATTCAGTTTCACGGTTTAAAGGTCTTTGGAAAGAAAGACAGAAGAGGTCAACGATGAAAGACATTCAAAAAGCCCGTAAAAGAAATCACTTGCGTCTGTGTTGCTTGGAGGGTGTCATACAGGCCATTTACCATGTTATGCTGTAACTTACTGATTAAATTGGGACAACAAAACATACATTTGACTACTTTCTGTACATAACCACAAAACAATGGATATAAACATTCATACATAATACTGGCAAAAAATATAATCATCATTAAGTTTTCAGAACCTGTTGTAAACACATCTTACAATATTACTAGCTGTATGAAATTACAGAATTTCTCAAACAAACACTTACACCACCATCTCGAGTGGCTTCCTAAATGTACGTGCCGCCGCTGTTGAGCCACAGCGCTGTTAGCACAATATTGATAAAAAGGGACTTGGGCAACTGCTCACACCTTTTACAATGATCCACACTTGTATAGCGCCTCTCAGAGTAAGGACTCCAAAGCGCTTTACACTACAGTGTATCATTCATCCATTCACACACACATTCATACACTGGTGGGGATGAGAGGCGAGGCTGCCGAGCACAGGCGCCTGCGGACCCTCCGACCACCACCAGCAGGCAAGGTGGGTTAAGTGTCTTGCCCAAGGACACAACAGCAGCATTCTCTGTCCGGAGCCGGGATCGAAACTGCAACCTTCCGATCAATGGACAACCCGCTCAACCTGTTGAGCTACAGCTGCCCCACAATGCCACGCACCTTCGTAAAACCTGTGCATGTGCACGGGCAAGCAAACTAGTAAGTAGGGTTGTCACGGTAACCGGTATAGCGGTAAACCCCGGTAAAAAAGTTGACAATAAAAATAACCGTCCAGTTTTTAAAAAACTAAATTATCTCGGTGGGTTTACCGTGGCCGCGGTTTCGGCGCGATGACGCTTACCAGCCACCGTCGCTTCAGCTGAAGTTCCTGCGGCGCACACGCACTTTTTAGTTTGCAACGGCACCAAAACTTTGAAGCTGAAATAATGGCCGAAGGAAGAGATGGCAGCGCCCAGGACACCCATCAGCCCTCAAAGAAGACTAAATCGGAAGTATGGGCATATTTTGGATTTCTGTACAATGCTGAGGGACAGTTAATAGAAGACTGCTATCCCGTTTGCAGAACGTGCAGGAAACAAGTGTCTGCAAAAGGCAGCAACACTTCGAATCTAATGGCACATCTGCGTGACCATCACCCACGTCTCTACAGCCAGTGCAAGGTAAGTTAACATTAGCATTTTAGCTTAAATGCATGACGTGAGGACTTTTGGTTGAGGGAGAATGCAACGAGTCACTATATACTGCAGCCGCAGCGTCCTCTGCCAGCATTTAAACCGTGTCACGGACACCCTGTTGCTGGATGAAGCATCTTATTTGTTGATGATGAAGAGAAATATACAATTAGTTCCTTGTCATTGATTTGTTTACTTATTCAATGCCATTTATACTTGAACGTTTGGATTTGATTACATAGTGTAGTAGTTATTTTAGTAATTTGTTTAAAGTGGCTATTTATTTTAAATACATATTTTTTAAGGTTGACTTGTACAGTGCTCAAGTCAAGTGTGGACTGGAGTTTTAGATTTTCATTTTGATAATGAAGAAAACAAGTGGTGTTTCTTTGATTTGTTTACATATTGTTTATGTTTTGAATGTTTGGATTTGTATAATTTAAACCTGCACTGACTACCGTAACATGTTCCAGAAAAAGAAGCCATTTGTTCCTTTACTTGTGAAAAGTTGCACTTTTGCTAAGACTTTGTGTTATTTTAGGTTTAATAAACACTGTTAAACCTTTTCAAAACTATTTCAGTTTGTGTAGAACAGGACTATCAATGCTTTCTGAACATATGCAACACCGTTTAAAAAATACCGCGATAATACCGAAAACCGTGATAATTTTGGTCACAATAACCGTGAGGTTAAATTTTCATACCGTGACAACCCTACTAGTAAGTATTAAACATTTTAAAGCTTCCTCTGTGTCAGAGCTAGCATTAAAATCCATATTATTTTCTGGATCAAGCTAACACGTCTCCCTTTGCCTACGCCACTTCTGGTTTGATAGAAAAATATTTTTCTTACAAAAATGAGCCTAAATTCATGTTTGTGTAAATTTTTATTTAAAACACACTCCTGTTATGTTTCTCTAAACATTGGTTTAAGGGAGACTAATCTGCAATTTACTCTAAAAGAGGTGGCTCACATCCTGAATCCAGCCATGATCTAGGACAGTTAACGCTGATCCCTACTGCACACTGGAAGCATCAGCGGCACGGAAAGACAGCGAAACGGCATTGCTTAAAATAGAATCCATTATAGTCTATGGAGTGTAACAATCCAGCTGCGACGCTGCAATTTTCAGACGCGTCCCAGAAGCAGCGTGGTGCAGCATACTGCTAAAGATAGAATCAGGTTCTTTTTTTCCCACTTCTGGGATGCGTCAATTACCGCAGTTAACATAAGGCCAGACTGGAAATCACACACGGTTTCAGTGTAAAATCCCCAGTAACTTTCAAAATAAAAGTACTGCAGCTAATGCTATTTCATATATATGAAGCTTACGTGTGACCTTACAACTTATTTACTCGCAGTATTGTTCCAGAAGTGCAGCGGTGGGTTTTCGTTGTTTTTTTCCTGGCAGTGGAGAGGAACAACATCATATATGACATCAAACAGCAACAATGTAATTTCTTTCTTTTTGGTTTGATGGTGGATTGCATAAACAAATTGTAACCTTTGAAGTCTAGAGGGAGCCTTTTTGTGATCCTGCTGCTTCGCTGCTGAGACTCTCCCCATGTGCACTCGAGTGCAGTGATTGTCGCGAGTACACCGTTCCACTGATGTTCCGTGCCATCTGATGCTTTCAGTGTGCAGCCTGGATAAAGGACAGTTAACCAGGGGTACAAGACTGATATCTAAAACTAAAAAAGTCCCTATTTGGAACTCTTGTAGTTAAATGAGTTTCTTGTGTCCTGTGTGGACTCTCATGTGACTGTTTAAACTTGACTTACAACTAAATCTTGCTTTACAGAGCTCACAGACAAAAGCTTTCTGTCCTGTGTGAACTCTCATGTGTCCGTTTAAAGTTGTCTTATGTCTAAATCTTTGTCCACAAAGCTCACAGACAAAAGGCTTCTCTCCCGTGTGGACTCTCATGTGACTGTTTAAACTTGACTTACAACTAAATCTTGCTTCACAGAGCTCACAGACAAAAGGTTTCTGTCCTGTGTGGACTCTCATGTGTCTGTTTAAACTTGACTTACATCTAAATCTTGCTTCACAGAGCTCACAGACAAACGCTTTCTGTCCTGTGTGAACTCTCATGTGCCCGTTTAAAGTTGTCTTATGTCTAAATCTTTGTCCACAGAGCTCACAGACAAAAGGCTTCTCTCCTCTGTGGACTCTCATGTGACTGTTTAAATTTGACTTACAACTAAATCTTGCTTCACAGAGCTCACAGACAAAAGGTTTCTGTCCTGTGTGAACTCTCATGTGCCCGTTTAAAGTTGTCTTATCTCTAAATCTTTGTCCACAGAGCTCACAGACGAAAGGCTTCTCTCCTGTGTGGACTCTCATGTGACTGTTTAAACTTGATTTACAACTAAATCTTGCTTCACAGAGCTCACAGACAAAAGGCTTCTGTCCTGTGTGAACTCTCATGTGACGGTTTAATTGTTTGCTTTGGCTATATCTTTGTCCACAGAGCTGACAGGCAAAAGGCTTCTGTCCTGTGTGGACTCTCATGTGACTGTTAAAAGTTGACTTACAGCTAAATCTTTGTCCACACAGCTCACAGGCAAAAGGCTTCTGTCCTGTGTGGACTCTCATGTGACTGTTTAAACCTGACTTACATCTAAATCTTTGTCCACACAGCTCACAGGCAAAAGGCTTCTGTCCTGTGTGGATTCTCATGTGACTGTTTAAAATGCTCTTATAGCCAAATTTTTGTCCACAGAGCTCACAGGGAAAAGGCTTATGTCCTCTGTGGATTATCATGTGTGTGTTTAAATGTGTGCTTCGGCTAAATCTTTTTCCACAGAGCTCACAGGCAAAAGGTTTCTGTCCTGTGTGGACTCTTGTGTGACTGTTTAAATGTGTCTTTTGATTAAATCTTTGTCCACAGAGCTCACAGGCAAAAGGCTTCTGTCCTGTGTGGACACTCATGTGACTGTTTAAAGTTGTCTTATGGCTAAAACATTTTCCACACTGATCACAGGCATAAGGCTTCTGTCCAGTGTGGACTCTCATGTGTCTGTTTAAACTGGCCTTATGGGTAAATCTATGTCCACAGAGATCACAGGCATAAGGCTTCTGTCCAGTGTGGACTCTCATGTGTCTGTTTAAACTGAACTTATGTGTAAATCTATGTCCACAGAGATCACAGGCAAAAGGTTTCTGTCCTGTGTGGTCCTCCATGTGACCGTTTAAATGTGATTTTGTACTAAATCTTTTTCCACAGTCATCACAACAAAATGATTTTAGTTCTTTCTGGACTTTCCTGCACGGGTCTATGCATTGCTTCCCTCTAACACATTTCTTATTAACCAAACAGCCAGAAGACCTTATTGCTGGATGACTTGTCACTCTCACATGTTTCTGGAGGGACGACTTATGAAGAAATTGTTTACCACACTCAGGGCAGCTAAAGGATTTGACAGTCTTAACATCTGACTCAGAAGACCTTCTCTCATTCCAATCGTTGTCTTCATCTCTAGTTTCAGACTTTGAGTCTGACAGCTCAGAGTTGTGATTCACATGACCACCACCACCATCATCATCATCATCATCTCCACTAATTGCCAACTCTGAAGAATCACATGTCTGCTCATGAAGGTTCATGTCTAGGTTCCTGCTAGTTTCTGCCCTTCCACCAATTTCTGCTGTCGCCTGGTCATCTGAGCTCCTGGCTGTGACATTTTGGTCTTCTATTTGCTGCTGATGAAATTGTAAGAACAAAGACTTCTCTTCAGCATCCTCTCTCTTTCTTGAAACTGCAGAGAAAAAAGTAGAAGTATATAAAAAAAACGGGTATAATCAGATGACAGAGTACCTAGTAGTGTTTGTGCAATCAGCAATATACACAACCAGTGTTGGGAAGTAACGTCACTAGTTGTGGTATTGCATCATTTCTACCAATAACTATGCAACCAATAACTAGGATGCAACAAAAATAAACACGAATAGTCTAGTAACAAAGTTCCTTTTGGCAAAATAAAGGTTTAGTTTTGTCCAGTCAGTTGCATCAATGCCACCAAGTAAACAAATCACATGGTGGTGTACAGCTTTACACATAAATAAAATGAGGACATTAAAGATGATCATTTCTTGTAAATTTAATTTTGGAGCAATTGTGTTATTTATATAAATTATCCAATAATTTGCAGTTATGGTTTACCTCTTCTCCTTTTTGTTTTAATTTATTCTGGTTATGGTTCTTTTCTCCTGCTCATTTCTGTATTTTGTGTTTCTGTGCAGATCAGCTGCGGCCGGACGCTCCGACCCTTGACTGTGTGTTCCGCGGTGTCGCCGCTGATTGCAATCCTCAATCACCACCCTGATTCAAGCCACGGTTGCCTGTCCCCGGTGTGTCGTCTTGAATGTTTGGACTAAGCTTTAGTGAACCTCGTGTTAACTCTCTCGAGTATGACGTTCTGTTTTTGGCTTTTTCCCACCGTGTGTGGTAATTTTTTGTCATTAAAGAAAAGAGGCTTCCTCAACCTAAGCTTGGTTCTCCTTCCTGCTCATGGGTTGCTACTCAAATCCCGCCCCACAGTGACATTACAACGCCACCCAGATGTCCAACCCAGCAGGTGGCACTCAGAACTTCGACGGATCCTTACCTTCGGCCAAGTAGGTCTCGATGACTGGAATTGGGCTTCCAACACTGGTCCAGGAAGTACACAACTACTTATCTGTGATGCAGCTGCTGCATGGCCATCTGTCTCGACTGGAGCAAGGCCCTGTGTCATCCCAACGGGCTCGGCTGGGCCCTCCTGAGCCCTTTGATGGCACTGCAGAGGACTGCCGACCATTTCTCGCCTCGTGCTGGCTCCATTTTGAGTGTAACCCTAATGACTTCCCTTCAAGGAAAAGCAAGGTGGTCTTTGCCATGAGTTTCCTGATGGGAGGAGCCAAGAAGTGGGGCCTGGAAGAGTGGGACAAAGGCATGGAGCTTGTCCGCTTCTTCCAGACGTTTTCCAAACAACTCCTCACCGTCTTTGATCCAACTACGCCACACTGGACTGCCGCTTCTGAGCTACTCTGGCTCAGACAGGAGGGCCGCAGCGTGTCTTCCTATGCTGTGGATTTCCGGACACTGGCAGCCAACACTCGCTGGCCTGATGACGCAGTGGTCAACATCTTCCTTCAGGGACTCTGGCTCACTCAAGGACGAGCTGGCAGCGAGAGAAATACCAGAGCAGCTGGAGTATCTAGTCGCCACCACTTCTCTTCTCCTCTCTACTTACGCAAGCACCTCCTGGCTCAGATACAAGTCCTCGCCCCGGGCTCCGCCTGTCATGGAACCTATGCAACTGGGAGTGAGGAGGCTCTCCGGGGCTGAACATCAGAGGCGTATGAGGGAGGGGCTGTGTTTATACTACGCACAACCCAGCCATCTGGTTCGTCACTGCCCGGGAAACGCTGGGGCCCGCTAGCAAGAGGGGAGCTAGCGGGTCTGGTTTCCTACTTTTCCCCACCCTCAAGACCAATGACAAGGGTGCTGGTTACAAACGGTTCAGAACAAGGTGAATTCGAGACTCTGGTTCAGATGGTGATTTGATTTCAAAGGCTGTGGTAAGCAAACATTTAATTCCAGTTGTTACCATTTCACCTGCCCTGCTTATCCACACAGTTCATGGTTCCCATATTCATAAGATTACTACCCACACTGTACCTGTTATAGTTACTGTCTTGGGGAATCATACGAAACTGTTAAGCTTTTTAGTAGTTGATTCTCTGACACCCTCAGTAATTGAATTTCTCTCTGGGATTAATAAAGAATTTTCGAATTGAATTGAGTTATCCTAGGTTATCCTTGGTTATGCAAACATTGCCCCCATCTGGACTGGGTTTCCGGCCGCGTAATAACGTGGAGCTCTTTTTGTTTGTTAAATTGTTTATCTGCTGCCCCGGTACGTTCTGTTCATCACCCACTACCTTCAGAACCGCCTGACATTGATAATGTCCCTTCCGAGTACTCAGACCTGGCCGCCGTGTTCAGCAAATCTACAGCCAAGGACCTACCTCCCCATCGCCTTCACGATTGTCCCATAGACCTTCTGCCCGGTGCTCAGCCTCCTAAGGGTCACATCTATCCTCTCTCCATTCCTGAGACAGCGGCAATGGAGGAGTCTATTCAGGAAGGACTGCAGGCTAGAATTGTTCGCCCATCCTCATCTCCTGCGGGGGCAGGGTTTTTCTTTGTGGGAAATGGAGCCAGCCCAAGGCATATGCAAACTAAGCGACTACTTTGGGCCCCCACATCACCAGGGTACCCCAAGAACACTCAAGCTTGGTTTAAGCTTGACGCATTCACTTTCCGCGCGGTGATGCGGCTCGCGGCTGGAACGCGCTTCACAAATCGCAGCGTTTATGGTTTGTGCGGCTCGTCTCTGCGGTGAGCCAATATTCTCCCAAACTGAACGGGGCAGCATGGAGCTCTACAGCATGCATCCAAGACTACACCATAGTAGAAGTAGAAATTACTGTTTACAACACGGCATTTCAGCATTTTTAACAGCGTTCTCGTCTTTTCCGACAGTGCGAGCTATTTCTCTCCAAGAATTATTAACAACATGTTGATCACGGTGATCTCTGAGAGCTGAATCATACAAATGTCTGTATTTACGAACCTCTGCCTTGCCGGTCCGCCATGTTTTTCCGCGTCCGACCGTCCGCGTGGTTAGAAATTTTCCGAGGTGCGTGTTGCGGAAATCTTGGGCCATGCGGAGACGCGGTGGAGGGGCGTGGTTGTTAAAATGACGCAACTTTTCCGCGAAGAGCCGTGCGGACTTCGCGGACGCATCAAGCATAAACCAACCTTAAGGTGGCATGAGTAAAAAAAAACAATGCATTTATATAATTTTCTGTAGTGTCATTTGGTTTTTGTTTGTAATGCAGCACACTTTACATGTTTGAAATTTTAAAAACAAAAGATAGTAAACCGAATCGAGTTACTGTAAATTTAGTGTTTGTCTGCTGATGTTTCTTTCAAATAGCTGAATTAATATACAACACTTAAATAACACACTTCATTTTAAAATGCTAATTTAGTGTGGATTGCTGCTCCGATAAAGTTAAAATCAATATACACAATAACACCAGATTGATGTGAGCTAATTACAAAATATGCTAATGATAGTGGACATGTTACACAAATGGTGCCTAGGAATGATGAATCATCTGGTGTTGACTTTTTGGTTTGGGGGGTCCGCAAGGGAAACCTATTTAGGGCCCTACAACGGCTTGGGCTGGCCCTGGTGGGAAAACACGATGGAGGCCTTTGTTCTTGCATCGACTACAGGGGTTTGAACAGCATCATGGTCAGGAACACTCACCCCCTGCCCCTTCTACGATCTGCCTTTGATCAGGTGAAGGGGGCCCGGATCTTCACTAAGCTAGACTTGCTGAAAGCGTACCGTTTGGTGCGTATTCAGGAGGGGGAAGAGTGGAAGACTTCCTTTACCACCCCTAACAGCCATTTTGAGTACCTAGTTATACCGTTTGGCCTCACGAATGCCCCAGCAGTTTTTCAGTGTTTTATCAATGATCAATGATGTGCTCAAGGACATGCTTAATTTGTGTTTGTTTACATTGATGACATTTTGATTTTTTCCCCAGACCGTGAGACTTATGTGCAGCACATCAGAGCTGTCCTTCAGTGCCTCCTTGAGAACCAGCTTTTCTGCAAGGCCGAAAAATGTGAGTTCCATAGCATTACAACCAAATTCCTTGGGCACGTGGTTTCTCCAGGGTCTGTTCAGATGGACAAGGACAAAGTAAGAGCAGTTCTCGAGAGGCCTGTACCCACTGGTCGTAAGCAGCTCCAACACTTCCTGGGGTTTGCAAATTTCTATAGGCGCTTCATCAGAGGCTTCAGTGGCATGGCTGCACCCTTCCATAGACTCACCTCGGCTAAGGTAACCTTTGTCTGGGACACAGCTGCCGACAAAGCCTTTGCCGAGCTTAAGAGAAGGTTCTCTGCGGCCCCTATCCTGACCCAGCCCGACACCTCCAAGCAATTTATAGTGGAGGTGGACGCGTCTGAGTCAGGGGTGGGCGCTGTGTTATCACAGAAAGCGTCTGATAACAAAATCCATCGCTGCGCGTATTTCTCCTGCAAGCTCTTCCCTGTAGAGAGGAACTACAACATAGGGAAAAGAGTTGCTGGCGGTTAAGCTAGCACTCAAAGAATGGCATCATTAGTTGGGAGGGAGATGGCAAGACCTTTCTAGTGCGGACTGATCACAAAAACTTGGAATGTATTCGGACTGTTAAGCGCCTCAACTCCCACCAAGTCTGCTGGGCCTTGTTTTTTGACCATTTTAACTTCCCCTTTTCTTATCGCCCTGGCAGCAAGAACATCAAACCGGCTGCCCCGTCCGGCCAAGGAGCCATGACCATCGTGCCCCCTAAGTTGGTGCTTGGGGTCACCCACTGGACCTTGGAGCGCAGGATCAAGGCTGCAGTTCCTGACACCACCACCATCCCATCAGGTTGTCCCCCAAACTGCTTATTCGTCACCTCAGGTCTACGTCCTGCTGTGCTGAAGTGGGGACACTCATCACGCCTGGCTTGCCACCCTGGAATGACAAGAACCGCCTTCCTCATAGCTCAGCGATCTGCTGGTGGCCCACCGTGGCCTCAGACATTCGAGCCTTTGTTGTCTAGTGCTCAGTCTGTGCCAGCGTCAAGGTGCCCAGGACTTCCCCAGCTGGTTTCCTCCAGCCTCTACCAGTCCCCTCCAGACCATGGTCCCACGTGGCCATGGATTTCATCACTGGACTGCCCGATTCCAGAGGTCAAACTGTGATTTTAACTGTAGTGGACAGGTTCTTTAAGTTGGCCCATGCTATACCTCTGCAGAGATTGCCATCAGCTAAGCAACTGGCCGAGGCGGTGGTTTGACACGTTTTCCAGCTGCACTGACTCCCCGAGGACATAACCTCTGATCAAGGCCCTTATTTCGTGTCAGCTTTTTGGAAGAAATTTTGCAAACTCCTGGGAATCAAGGTCAGTCTGAGCTCTGGGTTCCATCCTCAGCCGAACGGGCAGGTTTGGCGCTTCAACCAGGACTTGGAGACAACCTTTCGGGCAATGTGCCAGAAGAACCCCCGCTCCAGGTCCACCCAACTTTCCTGGGTGGAGTACTCCCATAACCCCTAGTGAACTCCACTGATTTCTCTCCATTTAAGGCGGCCTACAGATACCAGTCTCCCTTCTTCCGCCATCAGGAGTGGATGGCTTCCACCTCCGGCCACGCAGTGTTTGTGAGATGCTGCAGACGTTCCTGGGTCGAATTACGCTCCCAGCTGGTTAAGAACCAAGAGCGTTTTGACACGGTGGTGAACTGCTGGCGATCTGCCGCTCCAATCTACAAGGTGGGTGACAGGGTCTGGCTCTCTTCTGCGGATTTACCACTGAAAGGGGGTACTAGGAAGATGCAACCCCGATTTATCAGCCCGTTACCATCACAAAGATAATAAACCTGGTGGCGGTGAGGCTGGCTCTCCCCCGCTCACTACAAGTCCACCCTACCTTGCAAATCAGCAAGCAGAAGCCAGAGAAACGCAGTCTTTTGCTAACACTGCCTGCCCCCCCGCCCCCGGCTCCTTGCCTAGTGGACAGTGGGCTGGTCTATGTGGTCGGCTGTTTGAGTCGGCTGAGGTGTCCAGTATCTTATGGACAGGGTGGGTTATGGCCCAGCAGACCGCTAGTGGGTCCCCAAGCGTCACATTACGCCAAGACCTGATAGAGCAGCCAGACCCGCCGTCCATCTGGTAGCTGGACTTTATGAGGGGGGTTGTGTTATGGTTTACCCCTTATCCTTTTTGTTTTTATTTATTTATTCTGGTTATGGTTTCAGAGCAACCCAAGGCAGCTGTGGCTACATTGTAGGTCATCAGTGTGTGAATGGATGAATGACTGCTTCTGTTGTGAAGCGCCAAGAAGGTGCTGTGCAAATACAGGCCATTTTTAAAAGATTGCACATCACAGGAGACATACTCATAATTTCAGTGTAATGTTCCACCATTAGGTGACAATAAAGCCTTTCATTCCTTCGTTTGTTCATTTAGTACCTGTGTCCATGCTGTCCAGGTCCAGGTGGTGCAGAACACACGATGAATCAGTCCCAGATCCTGAAGTGGAAGCAGGTTTTCTTTAGCCGTGTTTAGCTAGCAGCTGCAATAGAAACAAAGCAGGAGAGCTGATTAAGATGCTGCTTCAGAACAACGCAGGAGATTAAAGATCCAACGCTTTGGTTCTGATCAGCTGAGGACAGATCCATTCAGGAAAAGAGGACCTTTGGTCACCAAAGTTCACAGAGTAGAGCTAACCGCTTTTTCCTCCAGAGTCACATTCAGATTTGGGGTTTTTCCGTCAGTGTGTGTGAGCAGGATGGATCAGAGAGCGAGCAGCGATCCTGCATCATGACCAACTCAGATAACCGAGTCTAATAGAGGTAGTGTTGGGAGTAACATGTTACAAAAAGAACTAATTACGGTAATGCACTGCTTTTTGCTGTAATACGATCATTACCCCCCTCCCCCATACACACACTCACACTGAAGGGATTTAAGATGACAGTGTGCCAAGCACAGTTTGTTGTTGCATTTGTTTAATAAACAATAATTTTCTTAGGGCCTGTCCAGCTTTGGACACTTTCATCCCTGGGGCTACTGCAATCGTAATCCAGCCCTGATGGAGGTCATCTGATGGACCTGCGGTGCAGAGCTAACCCTGCAGTCAGACAAAGCAGAGATGAGAACCTGCAGCTGATCTAACATTAGCTAGAACGTCCTCCAGATGGGCACATGCCCATAACTTTTAAGTTTATGAAAAATAAGGATATGAAGAACATTGTAGTCAAATGATTCTTGTGTGCTAGACCTGTTATTGTATCGGACTGTTTTTAATCATGAGCTACTTTTAGACGGCTTAATCCATATTTAAAGTTATTTTGGTGAGAGTACCTTAAAGTAATGTAATAGTAGTGTAATGTCTTACATTTGAAAGTAAAACAGTGATATTGTAATGTAACAAATTACTTTGAAGTGACAATTACAGGTAATAAATAATGCATTACAGATTTGAAGTAACTTGCCCAACACTGGATAGAGGGAACCTCTTCAATCTGATGAAAGCAGCAAAACGAGCGCGTTTCTCAGAGAGGCCAAAGGAACAGCAGCAGATCCAGAGGGCAGGAAGTCTAGAGAAAAGCTTTTCCCACCCACAACCTGATTCTGGAGCTCCGATTGTCACGGTTCTGGAAAGAACTCCACCAAGTTGTTGAGAAGAAAGTTTCCACAGCCTGGTGATAAATAAAGCGAGGCTTGTACTGAGCAGGAAGGGGGCGTGTCCATCAAATCTCATTTCGACGGTTGCATGGATTGCTTCATTTTGTGAAAAAAACCACATAACTGATGACAAATGAGGCCTCATTTTACATGGACCACCTAGCTGTCCTTTTTCTGTTTTCAAAATAACAGCTGCTGAAGGTGCTTTGTGGGTTGTTTTAACAGTTTGGGACGCAGCCATCATAGATTATGGTGGAACAGTTATAGTCTGAGGAAAGCTCACTTTTCATAATTAATGTGTTTTATTCGCCAACTATGTGGAAAAACTACACAAATAATGAATGGAAACAAAAGCATGAAAAAGTGAATATTTGATTATATTTGGATTTTAAATGTTTAAAAACAATGATGTAATTAATTTCATGATGTTGAATTTGAACAAAGGAAAAGCTAAACTTTACTGATCTAATCCAGTTCTTTGGAGAAAATGAATCAAAGCAGTCTTCCAGTTTTACCTGACTAACATTAAAATACATAGTTTGTTATTTATGAGTTGAATGTCCTCCAAAGGCCTCAACATCTTATTGACCTAAAGTAAAATAATGCTGCTTACTTTTCATCAGAGTTCTGTTTTAATCCGAGTAAAAAAAATTTTTTTAAAAAGGCACAAATGGAGCAAAAAAAATTTTTTTTAAAGATTCACAATCTAACAAGTTTGAAAATTCATATAGTGAGAATCTTGGCTTCAAACAACATAATATATATAAGGACAAATATGTTATTTAGTGTTGTTAATTGAATGTATTGTTAGTTCAAAAATAATTGATTTAGTTTTTAAAGCTGACTTATATCTGGGCCATTCCACCGAATGGGTGCCATTTCCATCCATTTCCGTCCCCAGGAGGTTTTTTGAATCAAGGTGCATGAAAATTTACGGGTAAATAATTTTTGTTATTAAACAAAAGGTCCTGCATAAGTATCTGAGTGTAAATTTAACATTAATCTTGGGCAAGAATAATAGAAAGTACTTTGAACACTGAAAAAACATTTCAGTGCATGTATTTTTCACCTGTCCCTGATCTTTAACATTACTCTTAGAGTGAAATATAATTAATAAAATCCCCCCAAATTTATCTTTTTTTTGCATTTTTGCGTGACTCTATATCCTGTCTATGTTTCACAAATACTTTTTTCAAAACAATTTTATACTTTATTTGTTAAAATACACATTTTAGTTGTGTCCCTAGGTTTACACTCAGTCCTGTTACCCAAATACATTACCCCATCTGTTTTATTTTGAAAATTCCAAAGGTGACCCATACAACAGGAAGTTGCATCATAAGGATCTTCAAAAGGCCATGGGAAGACCAAAAGTAAGGTCTCTCATTCATTTTTCTGTCTATTTAATAATATATTAGCTGTAAATGACGAGGTCAATCTCAACATACTGTCCTGTTACTTTAATTATATCTTACTTACCATTTGTTTATTTTAAAAATACACATTTTTGGTAAATCACTAGATTGTGCTTTATGTCCTCATGCTATTAGCAACGATGTGATGTGGCTATATTTGGTGTATTTGCTAACTCTATGCTAAAAACTCAGTCCTGTTACTTTCAGTCCTGTTACCCATATGAGAAGTAACAGGACTGAGTAATGGTAACAGGGCTGAGTAGAGTTCATTGATGAAGTGATAATTTTTTAGATAGAATATATTATTATTTTACACTATTGACTTGATTTTATTTATTTATTTATTTATTATTTTACTTTTACACTTGACATTGCAGAGGTTGTGATCTAAGATCAGTTTTGTAATGTGACTTTAATGCTTGCAGGGAGCAAAGCCACCACATAGTGCAGCAGAAAAGCAGCGGCTCTATCGGGCTCGACGTGATGCCGACCCAGAGCGGAGGGAAAGATATCTTGAGAGGGAAAAAAGAAAATACAGGGAGGACTTAGAATCAGGCAAGAAGAAAACAATTGACCAACTAAGTGAGAGAGAAAAGCGCAGACGACGCAAAAAGTGGAGGGAGACATACCATACAATCAAAGACAGAAAAAAAGTTCAGCAGTACCTTGTGACCCCTCCAGACATACCCCAACTCTCACCAGAGCAAGCTATAGATCCACAACCAAGAACTTCAAGGTCCAATTTATGAAATTGATATCCATCTGTTTATACAATATAATAACATTAATTTGTAACATCTGAAATATGTAAATAAGTGCTATTTTGACATGTTTCTTCTAGGCAATGTGATCAGGGGCGGAGAAGACGACGAAAAACACTAAAGAACCTTGAAAAACAAATTCATCAACTACAAGGCCTATTGAGGAAACAAACCCAGAAAACAGAAAAATACAAGAAAAAAGTCCAGCGCATGACAAAGAAAGTCCTAAAAAAGAAGACAAAAGAAACTGAGTCTCCACGCACAAAAGTTAAAAGACAGATGACACAGCTTCCACCAGCAGCCATTCAAAAAACTCTTCTGTTTCATGAGGCTCTGGTGGACGGCATCCGAAACAAATACAGAAAAGCACAGGGGGAAAAAGAAAGGCAAATAATTGCAAAAGTACTAACAGGAAAAGTCCTTAAAAAGTACAGATTGCAACGCTTGGCTCAAAACTCATTAGGATTTTCAAAGAAAAGATGGAGGAATGATGAGAATGTCAACTACAGCTACCAACGGAAGCGGAACAGCAGGGTTCCAGATAGTTTGACAAGTAGAGTGAGAGCTTTCTACACAAGGGATGATGTTAGTCGTATCACAACAGGGAAGAGACAGACCATCACTTGGAAGAAAACTAAAAAGCAGAAACGGTTCCTTTTGGATACCATGAAAAATTTGCACATGAAGTTTTTAGCTGAAGAGCAAAGCTCCATCTCTTACTCACTCTTCTGTTTGCTTCGTCCTTTCTGGGTTATTCATCCAACTCTGAGTGATCGGGACACATGCATGTGCAAGATGCATGAGAATCTGGGTTTTATTGTACAGAAGCTGCACCACCTGAAAGTGATCAGCACTATCAACCTGGAAGATCTTGTGAAAACCATCGCATGTGACACAGAAAACATGAAGTGCATGTATGGAGAATGCTCTGAGTGCAAGAATCTATGCTGCCCAGTCTCCTCCAAGTACAATCCAGAGAGTCAAGAGACATATCTCCAATGGGCAATAGTGGATAAAGAGCATAACAATGACCCCAGTGGCAAAACATCTAAAATCACAATCAAACAAGAATCCCAGGCAACACAAGAAGAACTTCTGGACCAGCTGAACCTGCTGCTGCATAGGTTTAAGAGACATTCTTATAACATCAAGAATCAGTTTACCCACTACAGGGCACTGAGACAGGGCTTGAAGTCACATGAATGTTTAATTCACGTTGACTTCTCTGAAAATTACGTCTGCAAGTACAGCACAGAAATACAGGCTGTCCACTTTGGAGCATCACACCAGCAGGCAACACTGCACACAGGTGTGCTTTATGTGAACACATCCTCCTGCCCTATGTCCTTCTGCACAGTGTCCCCCTCAAGACTGAAGGGTCCACCAGCAATCTGGCAGCATTTGTCACCAGTCCTTGATTATGTGCATATGGCACATCCAGAGGTCTCCACAATCCATTTTTACAGTGATGGCCCATGCACTCAGTATAGACAGCGAGGGAATTTTTTCATGTTTTGTACTGAGCTGTTCAAACAAGGATTCACTGCTGGAACATGGAACTTCTTTGAGGCGAGCCATGGGAAGGGGGCACCAGATGGTGTAGGAGGAGCTCTGAAGAGGAGAGCCGACAGTCTGGTCAGCAAAGGGACAGAAGTACCTGATGCTGCCAAATTCTTTGATGTGTTGCAAAAGACAGAAACAACAATTAAGTTGTTTTTTGTCAATGAGGAAGCAGTGGAGAAAGCTGTTCAGGAGATGCCAAATGATGTGCCATCAATTCCCTCCACAATGAGGATACATCAGGTGGTAACCCTTACCCAAGGAGAACTGACATACAGAGATATCAGCTGCTTGTGCACAACAAGACAAAATCTAACTTGTAAGTGCTTTAATGCAAAGTCTTTCACGTTGGATCATCAACAGGCAGCACTCAGAGCCACAGAAATTATGTGGCAAAGTTCAGACATTGTTGGCAAATGGTGTGTGGTTAAGTATGATGATGACATATACCCAGGTGTCATCACAGATACATCTGAAACACATGTTGAGGTCCGTTGCATGCACAAAATTGGGGTCAACAGGTTTTTCTGGCCAGCGCGCAAAGACCTGCTGTGGTACCTCTTTGAGGACATTTTGTGCATCATCCCACCCCTGAGGCAGGTCACATCTCGCTATATGGCAATTGAAAAGGGGGTCTGGGACCAACTTGACAGTGTGCCTTAGAAAAGGCCACACAAAGCCCCTGTAGCACATGTGCCCCGTGTTCATTGGTCATTCCTGTTACCCTCTGTTCATTCCTGTTACAGCTTGTTCATTTCTGTTACTCAGTTGTTTGTCTGTAAAAAAACAATAAAAATGAACTTATTTTTTCAATCATATTTGTTCCACCATTTATTAAATAGTTTACTGAATTACATTAGAATAAATTTTATTAACTAGAGCCCTGTGTCTCCTTGAAATGAAAAATATGGCTTTTGATCTTTCAAAAAATTACAACTTTTGTATGTTCATGTGAATTTTTTTATAACAAACATTAAATATTTGAACTTAAAACTAACCTTTTTATTAAAATAAACACTTTCTTGAGGGGAAAATGAAGGAATTAGTTGACAGTCTTCTATATGTGCTTTTTAAGAAGTTACATGAGTTTTGGTAACAGGACTGAAAATAAAGCAAACACGTTCATCTAAAAAAACATGTAAAAAATTAATTAAAGGCATTTAAGATTGACCAATGATCATTTGAAATAGTTAAATAAGTGTGTTACTAGATTTACTTTTGAAAATTGCATTAAAACCCAGTTTAATTTGATGCACTTGCATAAAATAAATGGCACCTATTCGGTGGAATTACCCATCTAGGGATGTTACAACCACATTTTTGCCCCTGATATGAGTCCAAGTTGATCAATTTTTGATTATCTTCCACAACTGAGTCCTCTAGGTGGTAATGCAACGCAAAAGAAGAGAAAAAGGGGAGAACACCCAAGTTGTTCTTCTGTCTGTATTTATATTTGAAATGGAATTTGCACTCACTAAAATATGAGTAGAATAAAAGCAACCACAGAAAGTTATCCAGTGTGATATACTGCTGTGTTAGCGGAGATCGTTTTCCGGTCTAAAGGAAATTTTGGATCCAATAGTGATGTGGCAGACCTGCGCTTAGAGGACATCACTGAGGAGGTGATTACACAGAGACTGAAGCAGGGATGTGGAAATATTTACGTATTCTATAATGTTTATACTTATAAAACATGACATTAGGAACATACATTATGTTAACTTTAAAAAAAATATTTCCTTTTTTATTCCCCACACCCCAAAACACAGAACCAAGCTAAACAGTTCAGCATTTACTCAGACATGTCACCTAGAGTGGTGATGCAAACACCCCACACAGATACTTGCCACCACACAGCAAAACACCACGAAAAGTATACTGATGTTACACAGTGAAGTGTATTCAGGACAAAAGAAGCATGATGACTTGGTTGATAAACAAGGAAAACCAATTTAATTTCCTCTGGTCCAAACAAAAATCAGAAAATCCCAGCACTATTCAAAATGGCCACCCATCCAACTCTCCTCCAGTCTCTGTCCAGTGTTGCCAACTGTTTTTGACTGAAAGTAGCTGAAGTTCCCCCCAAAAGTCACTAGATGTCGCCAGATGACGTCACGTGCTAGTTTACATATTGATGATGTCATCACGCCACATTAGCGTTCGTTTTCCCCATAGCATCTAATATATATATATATATATATATATATATATATATATAATAGGACTAAAAGGGAGGAAAATAAAAACTATGTTATATGTTAAAGTTATTAATTAGTATGATTAAAATGGCCCAAATTGCTTTGATATGTACAATAAATTCCAAAACTACCAATAAAGTGGCATTAAGACAGATATGGTGTGGTGATCCAAACAGTTCTGTTGTAGGATATAACTCAGACCTCCTGCTCTCCTCATTCTCACAGACATTTTCCTAAAAAGCTGTTTTTTTACACCTCCTAGTTTTTCAACTTCTCTGTTGTGTATTCTCTCCATCGTGATAATAACGGTGCACCGAGCAAAAGGGAGCAGGTGTCTCAAAGTATAACCATCCCTGTGTCACTGAAGGAAATTCAGATGAGCCACAGAGCTGCGTGTGTAAACGGGATGGTAGTTGAAACTCCCGATGACTGTATTTGCCAAATGCAGGAAAAACCAAAGTGTCTGACGGCTGCAGAACCAGAGATGGCAGGTTGACGCCCGCGCCGCCTCTAGTAGAAGTGTGAGCCTGCAGCAATATGAAAGCAGCAGACGTAAATCGGCGGTCTCCAGCTCTGCAGCTGTACTCTGTCTTCAGCGAATCAGACTGGCCGAAAACAGTTTATGATTGGTCAGTCCTCGTGCACATGCGCAGATTATCGTTCTCTTTCCTTACTCCCGGAAGAATGGTTCAGAGTGCAAACGGTTTCTTTGTTGCTAATCTGTGGGGAATATCTACAAGAAAGTTCTACAGAAAGTAGCAACGGGTCCTGAGAAATGTCGCTAAGTTTGTCGCTAGGCGCTTTTTGGAAAAAAAGTCGTTGAGGGGGGTCAAAAAGTCGTTAGGAACAGTGACAAAGTCGCTGAGTTGGCAACACTGTCTCTGTCACTTTCATGAGAGAGTCCACCTATATACTCTCCGACCCCCCCTCCAATTCAGGTTGGCCAATCACCTCAGTCCACTCAGGCATTTCACTATATAAAAGGCAGCATTAGAGGCGGGCTTCCTCTTTAGCTGCTTCAAAATGGCTGCCACACAGGATACCTCCTGAGGGTAACAAACAAATTCATGTTTAACACAGATTACATTAGTCCTGCATGAACACTCTTTAGTTAAAGAAAACATGTTGCTTCTCAACAACTGAGGACGCACCACAACACTCGCTTCGTTCAGCAAGGGTGACCAAAACCCCCAGCCTCACGGACTGCGGTCAAGTGAGCCGTTGTTCGTTTGCCCGTGGTCAAGTGAGCCGCACCTACAATTGAAGTGCGCATATACATGGTACTTTACGGTAACACCCTCTCGCTGCTGGAGAAGAGCTGAGATGAGCACAAAATGGGCTGAAATCAGGATGACAGAGCTGCTAAATGTGCCTTTTTGATACACACATACCAAGTACCTCGAGTACTACCAGGTACCAAAGTATGAACTAATTTTACTGTGTACTTTTTCAGTTATTGTACTTCAAAGTATGTCCAAAAAGCTAACGTGCCGTGTTAGAGATGGATAAAATGAGATTTGGGAAAAAGGACACTAGGCCACCTATACATACATACTAAGTACAGGACCTAGAGTCCTTTCTCCAAAATACAATTTTATCCTATCTCAAACATGGCACTTTTGGCTTTTTGGACAGTTTGAAGTACAATTACTGAAAAAGTACACAGTAAGGTAAGTACCTTTCTCAGTGGCCTAGTGGTAGAGTGTCCGCCCTGAGACTGGGAGATAAGGGGTTCGATTCCTGGTCGGGTCATACCAAAGACTTTGAAAAAATGGGACCCAATGCCTCCCTGCTTGACACTCAGCATTAAGGGGTTGGATTGGGGGGTTAAACCACCAAATAGTTCCCGAGCGCGGCTGTGTCTGCAGCTCACCGCCCCACCAGGGGATGGGTCAAATGCGGAGAACAAATTTCGCACACACACCTGTGTGTGTGACAACTAATGGGACTTTAACTTTAAAAGTAGTTCATACCTTAGTACCAGGTAGTACTCGAGGTACTTAGTATGTATGTATAGGATGCTTAGTGTCCTTTTTTAAAAACACAATTCTATCCTTTATCAAAAAGGCACATTTAGCAGCAGGCCCATGCAGGGGGGTGGGTGGGGGGGTGGGGGGTGCTTGAGACCCTGCCCCTTTTGTCCCATGTGCCCAAAGTGCCCTTTTTGAGGTTTAATGATATTTTTATATTTATTTATTTATTTATTTATTTATTTTTAAAGAATTTTCTGTTTGTGCCCCCTCAACAATAACAAAAATAATAATTAATTAAATTTCTGTTTAATAAAGTTATATAGCAGGCGTGAGTCACGTGACCATACCGTCTCTTCCTCACGCCAGAGCGCACAGCCGGTTACAACAAGCTGCAAGCAAGCACCCACATGTTCTTCATGGCCGAGTGAGCGGTGCAGAGCTTTTAGGACGTATTGATTGGGAGAAACGGACTAACACCAGTAAGTAGGATGCACACTACTATACACAGTTATTAGATTATTTTGTACATTATTAAGTTGTTTTGTGGCACTAGGTGTGTGTGTGTGTGTGTGTGTGTGTGTGTGTGTGTGTGTGTGTGTGTGTGTGTGTGTGTGTGTGATATATATTACTAGCTGGGTGTGTGTCTGTGGCTGGGTCCCGATTCTGAACCTCAGTAGCTTTAGGATTAACCAAAAACTTTCTGAACATAAGTACTTGTACGAAAATATTTTTTCAATCTTAAATATTGGGAATTTGCCAATAAAATGTCGTTGTTGTTAACTAGGTACCGCAAAGTTGCATTCCTATCGCTGCTGCGTGTCACGTGACTGGGGTCTCACACAGCACCTGCTTCTTGTTTACAAAATCACTTCCTGGTTCGCGGACTAATAAAACTAGAACAAATTTAAAATTTAGCCACCTTTTGTGAAAGGAAATAAGAAAAATACTAAAGGTAACATCCGTCACAAGTTTTGTGTTACTAAATATTCAGCCCTTGTCTGTAAATTCTGTCCAGCGTTTTAGGGAACATAGTTTTGTTTTAGATTTTACGGTTTCTCTGCCCTTCTGGTGGGTTTTATAGTTCACTAATACTATGCATATTCTCAAAATGTTGGAGTTTATATTTGCTCTCTTTTTGAATGCATTGTATTATAAAACATTATGTTTTAAAGATGTACATTTAAAAAAACTACTGTTTTCACAGCAAAATTTTATCTGTACAGTTCTCTGTTTTGCACAAAGTAGATAGTAAAACTGAATGAAAGCATAAACATTGTTTTATTCTTTATTTTTATTATAATTACTAAAGCACTATGATTAAAATAGTATGGAAATATTCTGGATCAGCATCATGAAGCAAATTTGTGGCCAAATTATATACAGTTGGTTTTCTGGAAAAGGAATGAAATGTCCCAGTATGTGAATGCATGAGTTTTATATGCATGAAAACATATTTGTAAATTAATTATGATATATCGTTGTACAGACATGCCTCGTAAGGAGAGGAGGCGAAAGCAGCGACAGAAAGAGCTACGTGAGCCAGCTAAAGGCAGTGGGTCCCTCACCAGCTGGATAAAAAAAGAGTACAGGTAAGTTACATCACAGCAACTAGTGTAGAAACAATAATATACACAACTGCAATGTTTTGATGCCAGAAAATGTTTTTTGTTAGCTACTTGATCATGGATTAGGTGCAAGACCTGTTAAATGTGAATAACTACATAATTCATTCATACAATAGCTAATTTTGCCTTGTTCTCAGATGGACAGCAAGTGGAGAGTGATAGATCACATGAGGAGATTGAAGACACACACACACACACACACACACACACACACACACACACACACACACACACACACACACACACACACACACACACACACACACACACACACACACACACACACACCTCTTTCTGTTTATATTTCCGTCACATTCTTATTTCTGACATAAACTCCTCTATTATCTACTAATGTTTAGATTTCCATTTATTCACCACAGGTGTTGTCTCAGATATTTCTGTCTTACAGTTCTAAGAGTTTTCACCAATTTTTGCCATTTTTTTATTATCTTACATTAATTTTGTTATTGACTAACATTTCTCCTCTGTTCGTTTTACTACCTACAGTCTGAGATCAGCACAGCCTTGCCCTCCAGCATCATCAGCAGCAGCAAGAGGAGCGACCCTGCAACAGCTACATTGTACCCCATCATCAGGTTAAATAGGACAGCAACAGATCAGGAGGTGGAGCAGGTTGTCCAGTAATCGGAAGGTTGCAGGTTTGATCCTGACTTCAATCAGAGATTGATGCTGTTGTGCCTATGGGCAAGACAATTAACCTGCTTTGCCTGCTGGTGGTGGTCGGAGGGACTGGTGGTGCCTGCCTGTGCTCAGCAGCTTCACCTCTGTCAGTGCGCTCCAGAGCAGCTATGGCTACATCATAGCTCATCACCATCAGTGTGTTAATGTGTGTGTGTGTGTGTGTGTGTGTGTGTGTGTGTGTGTGTGTGTGTGTGTGTGTGTGTGTGAATGACTGACTGTGTTGTAATGTGCCTTGGGGGGTTGTAGAACCCTAAGAAGGCATTGTACAAATACAGACCATTTACCAAAACAAGTTACTTTTGCTTTACATTGTCCTTATGTGGTACGGGTGTATACAATGATTCGCTTCCATTTTGAATTTCTAATAAATATGATTTGTTATTCAGCCGGGTATACTGTGGTTGTGTCACGGTGTTTAAAAATATTATTCTGTGTGCCCCTTTTTAAATTTGAGCACCCGCCCAAAAAACTCATCCCGCCTTCCGTCACTCATCTCAGCTCCTCTACAGCAGCGAGACGGGTGTTACCGTAAACTACCGTATAAACGCGCACTTGACCACGGACAAACAAACGAACGACGGCTCACTTGACTGCATTCCACAACGGCGGTGTACGATTTTGGTATACAACCCAACCCTAAAGCTAACTCGCAACACTTTACTGAGCTGCTGAACTGATCAGCAGTGGCATCAAAAGAAACCTCACCAGGTCATGTCACTGTTACCACACGAGGGAACTCGATCGCTCACCTAGCTCTACCTGTGGTGAAACTTATCCACGAGGTGTTCTTTTCAGTCAGCGCCAGTAAAATCCATCAGCCCGTCTACACGCCAAGCCTCATGTCTCCACTGCCTTTCTGTGATGTATTTGCGTCGCTGTAACCGACAAAACGAGGCTCAGGCCTCCAGATCAGCGAGTGGTGTTTTATTCTGGCCTGCTTTTTGTGCACAACAGATTACGACTGCCCTCTGCTGGTAGGCAGGAGGAGTACACATTACACGGAATGAGAAGTCTCGTCGACAGTACATGAACATCAAAGTAATTATAAAACTATGAACACTGTGTTACTCCTAGCTGTTAACAATAAGCTAGAAGACATCACAAACCAAGTCTATCAGGTGGTTTAACCACTCTGTCTTGCCTGGTCACGTACGGGACTGCAACCTTGGTTTAACTGTACCCTCTTGCTGATCTATCGGCATGGACACACCTGGGAAGGCATCTCTAAGGGCGATGAAAGATCTGCTGAATGAGTCCAGTCTTTTTCTATTTGCGCATAGCGGGTTTCTGTATCTGTCAGCGACCAAGATGAGAACGCTACAGGATGACTGTCTTGAGTGAGCACTGCACCAAGCCCATAGCTGCTTGCATCACAGTAGATTTCCACCAGCTGCACCGGTGTTCCGACTATCTGTGCTCCCCGTTGAAATGTGCTACTTTGGGAAATGCGCAGGCCGATTATTGCGTCACAGGCTGTTTACATGTCGAGACGCACTACCTGTGCAAGTTTACGTTTAATCTCGTCACTTATCTAGTTACTTTCAACTTGTCGAAGGTCACAGTAAGTATTTCTTTAAGTTGTTTTATTATTATTATTATTATTATTAATATATCATCTTGTTATCTTTTAGGAGACGTCTATGTTATTTCCCATCAAACAACAACTTGCTGGTTGAATAAAAGTAAGTATGTCAAAATTTGCCAGGGGTAGGAATAATTATGGGCAGCACTGTATATTAACAATAAAGTGAAAGCGTCTGCAGATACGATTCGATACAGTTTATCTCTGCTGACTTTTCATTTATGATTTGAACACAATTTTCGTTTCGATGCAATTCATGATGCAATTTTAAACAATTCCCACATCTGTTTTTTAAACATCATTACAGTTATTTTACCCTCTCCTCAATATTATCACTATTATTTACTAATCAATAAATAATCATGAAAAGAAAATACTCTTCATCGGTGATGTTTACATATTATATATATTTTTATTTCTACAATACTAAGTTGAATTAGAAGGGTTGAAATGAGGTTTAGACACTCTGCTCAGAAAATAAACCAACATAATTAGAAAATTATTAGAGTTCATCTTAGAAATTATTACAAAATAGCATAAGCATATGAAAATATTTCTAAATATTTTATTGATCCATATGGGGAAATATTAAAAGCTGTTACTGTCCGACCCTCAAAAGGGTCGAACTCTGGGAACCGGTAATGGTTGTACCCCGTGTGCAGCAGTACCGGGACCAGAGTGAATATGGTGTGTATGGGGATCATGAGTGGGTGTCCGGCGTGCATTTTTGTAAGTCTTTGGTTGTATGTGTATGTGTGAGCATGAGGGAGGGAGTGTGTGACTATGTTTGTGTATGACTGCATATGTCAGGTGAAGCCTTTGACTGCTCCCTTCTCCTGGGACTTCTTTTGATGATATAGATCTTCGACTCCTCTCTCCCTGCCACACCTGGTGTGGGGTGCGGTGCCTTGGTCTGCCTGGGTCGTGGCTCCCGGGTCAGGGAGTTTAAGATTTTTGGCATCTGCCTGACCAATTCTGGTGGCTGCCTGTTGGGGTCTGGGTCCCTGGGCTCTGCTGGGTCCCCGGCAGGGCTGGTCGCCCCTGGGTCAAGGGTCATTGGGTCCCGGGCTCGGCCAGCTAGGGGGTGGGAGGCTGGCTGCGGGCGGGCCTGTGGGCTTGCCGCCAATATCTCCCGGGACTCTGCCGGCTGCTTGTTGTGGCCCCCCGGGGGGATCCTCTGCGCCTCTCGAGGGGGGTGGGGGCTTTTCTGGTCGCAGTCTCCCTGGGGTTCCTGTGTTCTGGGGCAGCTCCTGGATCTCTGGGACTTGGAGCTCCCTCCGTCTCCTACACATCTTTAGGGGGCAGATCTGTGGCCCCTCACAGTCTCTATTGGACGCTCTTATAGAGAAACCTTACATAAACAAGCGTGTGTACACACACAGGTGCTCACATGGTGCTCTCATAAGTATGGACTTGGGCATGTTCAACACATGTCTCAAGCAGTAGCTCAGGTGGTAGAGCGGGTTGCCTCATGATCGGAGGGTCATGGGTTCGATTCCAGCTCCCGCCAGGGGTGTCCTGCTGTTGTGTCCTTGGGCAAGACACTGCACCCAACTTGCCTGTGTTAGTGGTGGTCAGAGGGACCGACAGCGCCAAATGGCAACCTCGCCTCTGTCAGACCTCCCCAGGGCGGCTGTGGCTACAAGTAGCTTACCATCACTAGCAGTGTGTGAATGTGAGAGTGTGTGAAAGCGTCTTTGGGTGTCTAGAAAAGCGCTATATAAGTTCAATGCATTATTATTATTATTAAGGCTATGGTGGGCACTTAATGCACTGTGATTTATTATCGTGTGATTGTTCAGTTAAACAATGTTGATTATTTATTTCTTCATCAAGTTAACACAGTGATAACTGGATCTTGTTGTAGCATCCCATTTTTTTTTGTTTTTCTTTCTTTCTGCAGGTCTAGAAGCAGACTCTTGTTCATTATTGTTTATTTTAGTGGAACCCCCCCCCCCCCCCCAGTAGATATTCTATTTGATAAGAGATACATACTGTATTATTGTCTTTATCTAAGCAAGGCTATAATTAATTCAACAGTTTAACTAGTAAATTAAAGAGTTGGACAATATTGGATATTGGTAAAAAAGCCAATGTTGAGCATCATGTAAATTAGGAAAAGGACTCCCAGTTTATTACCTTAGATCACTCTGGATCGACTAGATGTGCATTTAAACACATTGAGTTACAGCTAGGGGCCCTCGATAGGCATGTTTCTACTGCTGGAACTTCTGTGTAAAATTTACCAGAAATTCTTGGTATGTGTTACGATCCCAGTTAATTGATTCTTCCATAATTGGTTTAATGTTCAAACGATAGGGGAAACATTTACAAAAGTATCCTTTATTTAGGAGTAGAAAAAGGAGGATGTAGCACTCAGGTCAAATCAAGTATTTTTAATTCGTGCAAGTAAAAATAAAACAAAAGTTTTGACACTGCGGACTTCGTCAGATTTATTTATTTTGCAAAAGAAAGCAGTAGAAATCACTCATAGGGTTGGATATACGAACCAAACAAACATTCAAAATGTATTAAATTAAAATAATGAACAATGGAGTTACATAAACTATAACTAGAAGACTTAAGAACTGAAGAACATCCGGGGCTTAACACACGCGCACGCACACACACACGTGACACGCACTAGTCAACATCATATATGTCTTGTACCAGCGCCGGCGCTCCGCACACGCACACCACGCACAGCGCGTAGGGCACCACGCCGGGGAAGGGGCACCAAACGCAAGCTTATGAAATATAATATATATGATAAAGACAGATTTCAATTAGAAGATGTGCAAAGCAAGTTAACAGCATGTTTACAGAAAGAAAACAATACAAAAAGGAAAGGAGATGGACCGTGCCCACTTTTCACTCTCTGTCCGGACGTCCGGACTGGGGGTTCTTATATTGATGAAAATGTCCGGCTTTTCATCCAGGAGCAGGGATGGGGGAGCTGTATATCCTACACATCCAGGGGACCCGGAAGAAAGTTTTCTACCTATATTACATCATTTATGGACTCTTTTGAGCAGAGAACACAGAGAGCGACACAGCGCTGCGTTGATGCGCAGCGATTCAGGCTGCTGCGTCCAGCGCACGGTCCATTCTCAAAGTGGCGCAGCCAAAAAACTATAATTAACACACGATCGTTCAAGTCCGCTCATGTTCTCGACTTTCTGTCTTATTTGTGCCTGGCGCTCTGCTACTGCAGAGCTCATCACCTGTGCTGCGGTGATTTCACCTCACTGACGCAGCATCGAATCGCGCTCTCCGCTTTACGGTCAGGAGATCCCTTTGATCTGCTCAGAAGTAACTGATGAGGTGAAAAAGTAAGAATCCAGGCAACAGGTTTTCTGGAGAGTTGAGAGGAGATGCAGGAAGATGAGAGACAGACAGGACAGGAAATAGTTAAATAAAAACAAGAAAACAAAACAAAGTGTTGAAAAGTAAAATGTAGGTAGATTTATCTCCACTATGTGTTTCTACCTGTATAAAACAATAAGTTACACACATGTAATATTTATACATTTGATACAATTCAGATCACCTTCAAACTCAGTCACACACCCAGGGCCGTTTCAAGACATTTTGGGGGCCAAGGCAAAATGACCCCCCACCCCCCACCCACCCACCCCCCCGCCCACACACACACACACACACACACACACACACACACACACTAAATATCAATCCTACTTTTTGGAAAATAATAAGCAGTTTGTGCATACAAGAGAATTAAAGAAAATTTAAGGTGTAGCGCTTGCACATACTGTGTTATTGTGTTGTTTTTTCTGTATGTGTGTGTGGGGGGGGGGGGGGGGGGAGGGGGGCACCACGAAGCCTTTGTGTTTAGGGCACCAAAATAGCTAGCAACAGCCCTGTCTTGTACCACATAATTTTTAATCTGAAGCTACATATTAAGCATTTTCAGGGCAGAGTATTGTTCCTGTTAGTGTTTAGTGTGAGATGATAGCAAATATTCCCTTTCTTTCCCCAACCACTTTACCTGATATGCTAACTTTAGGCAAACCAGCAGCACAACAAATATTTTCAAATAAGACTCACAAACCTGAGTCAGCACCAGTCTCATCAAAGCTGGGGTTCTGTCGTTGTACTTTTGGTCTAAAAAACGTCCTTATGTCCATCTTCACTCATGTGTTTCAGGCAGACTGCAGAAGAAGCCAGCTGCTGAAGGGCTTCTTCTTCAGTGGTGGAGGCTCAGGCAGGCTGTATACAAACTACTGCCAGCTGCTCCCTCTCTGTTGGACTTTGGTACTGCATGTTACTTCCGCGATTTAGATCCGGGGCTTTCCATGAAAGATCCGGGGCTTCAGCCCAAGTAGCCGGGCCTAACGCCGCCCCTGGTCAGGAGACTAAAAC